TACGGGAGTGCAGACATGAGCCGTGTCCAGTTGGCGGTCTCATCCAGCCAGGAGACGGTGTCCTGAGGCAAGGCAGCAATACCAACACTGGTTGTCTGCCCATGGCCTGCAGCTATTCCGTCTTCCTTTGCTACCTCGCCATTTGTCTCTGCTGCCGTGTCACCGCCCGGTGGCTTCTCCTTTGACAGTACCCTTGCGCTGGAGGCATCAGCAGCAGCTTCGTTGTTGTACTTGCTTATCCGTCTAGCAAATCCAAGTAGCAATCTGTAGTCCACTTCATTCTTCCGTGTCCCATCTTTGCCCTTCCCGCTCATTTCAATATCACTCCCGGCCTCATCGTCGCTGTCTTCGTCCGAGTCGTCGTCTTCTCCCGCCGCCGCAGAGATCTCGTCTCCTAGCTCCCCGACCTGCCGAACGGTCTCCCGCACCCGCTCCTCCAGGCTGAGGGCTTCAGCACGCAGCCGAAGGATCCTCGAGTAGTTTTCCTGGTGGGTTCTCAGAGTCTGCAGCGCGCTGGTGAGCGCGTCGTCCGCTTCGAGGAGAGAGACTGTTGCTGCCGGAGCTCCAGATGCCGTAGGAGTCGACGTGATGGAGGCAAGTAGGGCGTTCAGCCGGGCCTCCAAGGAGGTGAGAGGCGCCAGTATCTCTGCATTCATGGTATCTCGCGGCCTTGCATCGTGTTGTGCCGCTCTTCCGCTGCGTTTCGTTTCTTCTCCAGCTGTGAAGTCGCTGGATAGTTATATGCTTACGTAATGAGTGTATATTGAAGAACCAGAAGACGAAGACGAAGACAGCGGAAGAACAAGGTGAATTGAGTGTAGGACATAGGCGTGAAAAGAAATCGCATCAAACTGGCATCACTGCTCATACTAGCTAATAATAGTCGCCTTTGCAGTGCGTACGCCGCCGCCGCCGCCGCCGCCGCGAGCTACAGACTGGCCGTACGGAAGTTTTGTTAACCTCGTCCTCCGCCGAGCCTCCCGCCCTCAAACTCCGCCTCAGAGTCCTTCAACCTCCTACGGGATAACGAACATCATTAAACGCTTCCGGCCTCTGCCTTGTACAACTGTTTGCCAGGTGCAGCTACCTACGCGTTTTACAGCCCTGCTCCTCATCTACGCTTCGGCTTCGTTTCGCCCGCCTCCCTCGACCAGTTGTCTATATAGTTACTGGTTAGTTCGCTGCAGCCCCGCCAGCCGCCGCTGCAACTGCTCTCGCCAACCAACAACCCTATCCTCCAGCCAGCGTCGAGTACGCGACTTTTTCGCCGTGATACAAAGGATATACCCGCTACCTAGGCCTGCGCAAGGAGCCACGACAGCATGGGTAAATCGTGAGTAACCTCTTGGACCTCTCCCTGCAACCTCGCGATCGATCACCTCCCCGCGCCCAAGGCTTTGCGGGGGAAGGCCTATCGTAAACACCAAGGCTCTCCTGCAGGTCCTGATCAGAGGGCACATCTACTCACCCTTAAACTTGAAGAGCTATGCTGCCTCGATCTAAACTCGCCAATACTCTCTATCTCCCCCGTGTATTCATTCGTGAAGGCTACCGGCTAACGGGTCGCTTTTTACCTCCGCAGGCAGTCCAAACTATCGCCCAGCCAGCTCGAAGAGCTTCAAAGATCAACACATTTTGACAAGAAGGAGCTCCAACAGTGGTATAAAGGTCCGTCTGCCGAAGCATATGAATCAAGCTTTACCCTCGTTGAGGTATTTCTGCTGAACCAACAATTTGATAGGCTTCCTCAAAGACTGCCCGTCCGGCACCCTTACAAAAGAAGAATTCCAGAAGATATACCGGCAGTTTTTCCCCTTTGGCGACCCTTCGTCGTTTGCCAATTATGTCTTCCGTGTGTTTGACGCAGACGGAAGCGGTATGATCGACTTTAAAGAGTTCATCTGTGCCCTCTCCGTCACGTCAAGGGGTAAGATGGAGGATAAACTCGACTGGGCGTTCCAGTTATACGACATCGATGGAGATGGCAAGATCAGCTACGAAGAGATGCTCGCTATCGTCGAGGCTATTTATAAAATGGTAGGCTACTTACCGAGACAGTCTGATTTAAGTATGTTTACTGACCTTCGTAGGTTGGCTCCATGGTCAAGCTCCCTGAGGACGAAGACACTCCTGAAAAACGGGTACAGAAAATATTCCGGATGATGGACAAGGATGAGAATGGAAGCTTGGATATCAGCGAGTTCAAGGAAGGAAGCAAGCGAGACGAGACTATAGTTAGTGCTCTATCCTTGTACGATGGCTTAGTATAGGGTGTTATCCATTCCATGGCGGCGTTTTCTTTTTCTCTCTTTTTTATAAACTTATTTTTATTCCCTCCTGCCTTATCGTCACAGTCAACTAACTAACTACCCTCAGTCATGCTGTCATTATTTTTGTTTCCCCACTCATGTTATTACTGTTATTTTACTAGACGGTCCACATCTCGCTGATGCCGTTCGATGATCCAGGCTTGTGTTTGCTTGGTACTTCCTTATATCCTATAGTTATCCTTTCCGTTTTACCGTTTGCTGTGTTGTGCTATCATATCTCTTGCCTGTGTAACTACGCCGTTTGGCCAATTCCCGGGATATCAGGAATGGAGATGCAAGTGTAAGGGAAAAAAAAGTGTATACAAGATTTTATTTTTTCATCAAGATAGCAATCGTAGATCTAAAGCCAACCTGCCAGTTTTAGGTCATTAAGAGGGCAAACGGTGGGATGGTAATACAGAGACGATAAAATCCAGTCTAGGATGGGGGAGAAAAAGAAAAAAGGGGGGCGCTAGGAATGACCCCCGAGAAGTATAGTACGGGACTGAATCACAGCATTGACGAATAAAAATGATGTAACAATGAATGATTTTAGTCGACCTTGATGGAGCCATAGATCCTATGGACAAAGGCCCAGCTGGCAAATAACCCAATGGTGCCTAAATTTTATTTGGGAAAATTATATCAGCTTACGGTCTGTGATTGTAAGACATCTGGAAATAGGGTGGAGCTTACCTGTTAATACAAAGACTAGGAAAGCCAAGAGTGCAGAGTAGCCTAGATATAGAACAGCACCAGTCACACCGCCAAAACTGACGCGGGTTGCCCAGAAGATAAGTGCGTTAAGGAAGACATATCCGCCGGTCATACCGGCACCAATAAATGCCCTCCAGTGCCATCGGTAGTCTTCTGCACAGAGCAAGAAGTAGACGAGGAGTATGGTGGTGGTTGCAGAAGTCATAATCATGAGTCCGTAGCACAGAAAGAGGAAACCAAACATGTAATAGATTTTGTTTGTCCAGAGGGAAGTCATGATAAAGTATAGCTCCACAAAAATAGTGGCGAATGGGAGCATACCAGTTATCAGTGTTGATGGGAGAGGGCGGAGAGACCAGACTGCTGGAGGAATCTGACGGGGGATCTGGTTGGTTCTGGTAGGTCCTTCAAAGCCCTATGGGAGCGTTAATATTTAAAACACACTGGGTTAGAACGCAGGTATGCTTACGGGTAGCTTAAGTCCGATCCAGCTGCCTGCAACGCTAAGCGGCACGCTGATAACAAACCAGATGATAACAGTGAGAAGCATAGTGGTAAACGGAACAGCACCACTGGATCCTTTAGCCCAAACAAAAAGATTGAGCAAGAAGAAGGTAGAGAACGCGATGGCTGGGACGAGTACTGGGGTGAGGATGATCAATCGCTTCCAAGAGTCACCTCCAAATGACTTGTACGTTCTTGCGGCGACGTAGCCACCGACGAAGCCAAGGAGAGTATATAATATTAAAATAACAGTTCCCAAGAACCCTCTGTTGGAGGGTGAGAGGAGGCCAAAGAGTGCGAATACTAGCGATAGGTTAGACCACAGAAAAGAGCCAAGAGAAGTCTCGAAAACTTACCAACGGTGATGCCGGTCATGACGAAGAGCTGAGCACCATTTCCTACCAGCAAGCTGAGCAAAAGCGGGTGGTTTGGAGTGCGGAACACATCACCATGGACTAGCTTCCAGCCTGAATCTTCCTGTATGCCATCTTCCACAGAGTCACCATTGTCATTGAAGTCATCCATGTTGATCATACTCAGACGATTGTATCGCGCAATGTCCTTCCGCAAGGCCCGGAGCAAGATGCTGCTCACCAGGGTAACGAGCAAGATGACGAAGACGGCGGAGTAGATAAGCCAGTACCAGTGAACACTGGGATCGTAGACATGTAGATATTTATCCCATCTAGTCGCCCAAGCGGTGGAAGACTCACGCCAAGTGACACTATACGTCCAAGCTACAGAGGTATCCGCCGTGCCATCCAGAAGCACAATGTCTTTGCCAGAGCAATCAGCCTTGTCCCCAGACACCTTTGTCTTCCTGGACGACGGGTGCACGAGAACCCCAACGACGCGGTACTTCTCCTTGGTCCCGAGCCCGGCAACGCGATGGTACTCAATATCAATATCGTAGTGGTTGTGAAGGAACGATTGTCCATCGCTATTAATATCACCTAGGAGGAAACCGGGGCTGTAGAACTGCTCGTTTGTTTGGTCATCGGTATTTATCTGGGCAGCAGGGAGGCCGTCGATGAGCCAGTTGATGTTGTAGCCCTGCCATATTCTGTGATTCACGAATTGGCTGCTAAGCCCGTCAAACTTGACCTCCGGACAGAGCAGCTTGCAAGACTCGTTCTTGGCCATGTGTAGCTCAAAGGGTGAGGTGAGGATGCGATCGCCAAAGATGATGCTGCCTAGGGACTCCCGGACATCCTTAGGCCCATCCTTGGGCCTGCAGAAGTGGAATGACGGGTGGTAGTAGTCGTAAGAGAAGACGGAGTGAACCTGGGCATCCTGGGCCACCGTTGGTGTAAGATGATTGACATGAAGTGGAACTTTCTGCCCGACGTCGTAGGAGGTGGGAGCTACGCCAGGTAGATAGAAGGCCGAAGAAAGGATCGGGGCAAAGAGCGATAGCAAGAGATGCGACTTGCTTTGAGACCACATCGTCGCTGATCTGCTGCGTCAAGCCGTGAGCTGGCGGTGGTCTTCCTCGTCAGTGTCCAGGGAGGAGGAATGGCTTACATGGATGCAGTATTGTGACTTTTTGGCCCAGGCCAGCTCAGGGAGACATGCGAGCCCGTGGATATGAAACGGCGGCAGAGCTCTTCTCTCAGCTGGAAGACTGTACTCTATAGCTAGTTATCCAGGTGTTGTATGACAGTCTGTTTTCTCTGCTGTCGTCGTCGTTGTCGTTCTCGTCTTGCTTTGCTGGTTTCAAGCATCGAAAAGGAAGAAGCTGATGCGGCTGCTTAGTCAGCCGTCAAGCTAAGCTGGTTTTGACTTTTCCGCGTCGATATCGATATTAAATTCAACCGCTCAAAGGCCCCCTTGGTTGGCATCTGCGGCGACTTTGAATGCATAATTTGATGCTCCAGGCATGGGCTGTCTGTCGACTTTGGCCCTGGTAGACTCCATTATATGGCGTCTTGCGCTACCTGGCCTCTTGTCTTGGGACTTTCTACCGAACTCGCCATGCCTGCCATCCAAGAAGAAATGGAGTTTCCCGATAACTAGTTATTTTCAACCGTTCGAATCCCGGCGGACATCAGGGGTTCTCCTGCCCACTTCTTTGAGCATCCCTAACACTACTAAGCGCTGTGATACCCCGAAATACCCCATCCTAATGGCATCTTAAGGGTGTTACTATTATTGTCCCTGTCAAATTGGCCAAGGTCGCACATAAGCTGACTAAGCAACGCAGCGTCCTTCTACTTCAATCAACTCAATATCAACATCAACAACAGCTTGCATTTTATCCATTTACGAAAACAAACATGGAGACATGAAGCTCCATATTCAAAGGAAGCTGTGGGCTGTCCGTCGGATACACCATATCACCATCCCTCTAAGGGAGTGAATTTGGCCAGGACGCCGTCTTTCGGTGAGATAGTTGCTTGTTCTCGCACCTCTAGTTTAGCATTTGGGTATTTCAATTCAAACTCAAAGCTACCCACTACTGCAGTGAGAAGACAGGCAAGCTCAGATTTGGCGAAACCTTGTCCAATGCAGCTCCGTGGACCATGGAGGAAGCTTAAGAAAGCATAGTTGCTGGTTGCACCGCCCGTTTTAGCCTTTCCAGGGCCCAGGAATCGATCTGGGTTGAATTGGCCCGCATCTGGCCCCAGAACTCTGGCATGTGGTTAATAAGCTCCGGCGAAATAACGATCTGTGTGTTCTTAGGAATAGGCTTGCCCATCAACGTAGTATCTTTGAGAGCGACCCGGACGGTGTTTGGTATCGACGGACGGAAGCGAATAACCTCGTTGCAGACAACGTTTAGATACTGAAGGTTACCGACCGCAGCAGCGTCAATAGTACCTGGATTCCCGACATTAATAGGTGGTAGATAAGCGCGAACCTCCTCACGCAGGCGGGTCTGGACCTCCGGGTGTTTGCAAAGGGAGTATATAGCCCACTGACGAGCCGCAGCGGTAGTTTCATGGCCGGCGCCCAGGAAGGTCATCAGCTGGTCGACGAGGTTTTCGTTATCAAAGTTGCCGCTCTGCATTGCAACCGAAATAATGTCAACGCCGATCTCCCCATTCGGATCCTTCATCTTTGCTTTGCGCTCTTCGATCATCTGCCGTGCAGCATTGCGGATATTGTTGCGACCTGTATCAATGGTCTTATTCCGCCTAGTGGGTAATTTTGCCAGCCACTTCGTGTCTCCAAGGAGCATTCCAAGCATAAAAAGGGCCTTGGTCATTACGTCAGGGGCCGTGAAGATCATTCCATACGATCTACTAAGATCGTTTTCAGGCTTGCGCAGGGAGTCGAAGTCCCGGCCTATTCCCACCAGGCCGATGATGTCCAGCGAAGAGCGGCCGGCCCAGTTCCTGACTTCAATCGTATGTCTTCGGTAGGTTTTCGACCTTTTAGTTCCTTTCGAATCAATCTCACCATTTCTATACTCTTGGACCAGAACACAGGATAGAGATTCTTTATATGACGGTATGCAAAGGCTGGCATATGATTCTTGCGTTAGAACTATATCGACACCCATGAGATTTTAAAACATAGAACCGGAGACAGTAAGCGGTCATCTTCTACCTTGTGTTCGTCGTTTTCAGCAAGCAAGATGCCATTGCCGAGCAGCCGACCCAATCCTTGCTGTATCACCAGTGGCTTTGCAAAATTGTAGGTTTTGCTTACTAGAATCTCGCTTAGTAATTTGGGACTGGTTACTGTGATTCCTTCGAGGTTTCCCGCGATGTAGTAGCGAATGATCCCTTCATTGGGAATGTCTCTCGCCCACACCTTCATTTCGGCATGGGGGGTGTCAAAAAACAGGCTCTTCGTGTTTCCTGTGAGTCAGTGTCGATTCTAGACAATCTTATATCTATCTGAGTCAAACTTACAACTAGGTAACTAGTCAGATAAAAGTGATTGCTCACTGATGGGGTGGGAAAGCATTTTAACGGCGTGAAGAATCGAGGATAGAGAAAGAGCTGATAGAAAAGCTTTGATAGGATGATTATTGTGGATAGAATAGTAATAGCCGCGACTCTGGATCCACACATGGCATATTCCGGCTTGAAGTAGACACCGGCTGCCACCCCGAGGTAAATAATACTGAAAATATCGTCTATGATTAAATAGCGGGCACACACGATATCCGCGAAATAGGACCCTCTGGCAGAAGTGATTACCAGTGTTATATGTATACTCATGGCTGAGATTGCTAATCGAGGAATAGTTTGGTTTTGCTAAGCTTCTTAGGATTACCCCTGGACACAAACTGGGAATTTAAGTATGTATGAGATGGGAGTGCGTTTACATCAGCGATTGAAGGGGAGCCCGGGATCCGGTGGCGGCGGCTCGGCCCGCAGCTGAGCCATAAACTTTAAGTACGATCTGACAGCTTGGCCTGACGATGAGGCTCTTACCTCTCACGTCAAACTACTCGTACACAAGGACATTGTGTCCGTGTTGCGCGGATCTACAAAAGTTATCGAACTTGAAGTCGAACTATACATACACACATGTCGTGTGATACCATTATAGAGAGAGCAAAATTTACATCTGTCTACGTTGGTCGAGGCTGCAAATTAACAATATCATTATGTTTCCAAGCCTGCCTCTATCTATGCAATTCTATCTTCCTGATATTTTCTAGGACCATTTGCATTCAAGAATGTTGAAGCTTATGCGGAACCAACCAATTCCACATATTCCAATAGACGTTCTTGTCTCACGCATTCGCCGCCATCAACGCGTAGATCTGCCGCACGGCTTTTGGTAACTTCCCCTTATCACCACATTCCTCGATCTCAATCATCTCAATCGCAAAGCTACAAATCGAGGCTGCCAAATAATCCACCTCCGCCTCTGTATTTCCAGCATGGATCATCACCCTGACTCGAGACTTGCCTTTGGGAACCTGCGGGTAGTCTATAGGGACAACCGCTAGTTTTGCTAGCTGTAGGTGGAAAAAAATCCACCAGTTGTACATTTGTCGGGTCCAGATTGGCACTATATGCATCACAAAATCGTTGGACTCATAATCCTCGCTCGGGGGAATAAACAAGATACCCGTATCAGTTGCTTTATCCCAAATGGGGTTGGAAGTAATGGTTTTGAAGAAATATTTGACAAGGTGCTGCATGTTGTCTTGCGCCTAAATCATTTACTGCTGTTATTATGTAGCATGGAAAGGTTTTCCGCGGATTTGCAAGCGGCTATGTACTTTCTGGGTGGAACCAGTTCTCATCAGATTGTAGACTGCTCGAACAACTGCAACCGAAGGGAAAGAGGGGGCCGTGGTATTCACCAAAGACCCGGCAAAGTTTAGCATCGTGTTTCGGACCGTTGTGTTTCCAAGGACAACACCTTCCAAAGATATGTTTAGTTAATCAATTTTCTCAAATGTTCAACCTGAGTTCTGATCTCACATCCAGGGCAGGCCAAAGCCTCTCCGCAGGTATTGAGTCGAATTGCAATATCTTTCTCGAGGCCTAGCAACTTGACAAGACCGACACCCCGCTCACCAACAACTCCCGTGGCATGGGCTTCGTCAGCAATAAAGGCAAAGTTGCCCTTGGGACAGATTTCTCTAGCAATCTCAAGCTCCACCAAAGGGCAGACATCTCCATCCATGCTATATATCGACTCTACAGATACGAGTAGCGAGCACGAGCCGTCTTTTAGCATGGGCTGAGAGTCCATCGTAGATGACATCGCCTCTCGAAAGGCGTCGAGATCATTGTGACGGAATGCAACCTTAATCGTGGCTAACGAAGCAGTCATGCCCGTGTGTGTGCTGAAGTGGACTAGTTTATCGTACACAATAGCATCTCCTGGCCGTGGGATTGCAGTGTAGATAGCAATATTTCCATTAGAGCCCGAATTAAACATGAGAGCTGTCTCTGACCCAAGAAAGTCTGCGATTTCTTGCTCTACCTCCTCGATATAGTCGTAGTTGCCGTCCATCACGCGGGAACCACCTGAATGCAGGGCAAAATCGGGATGCCTTGCCAGCTCTGCTAGGAACTCGGTTCTTAGTTCTCCTGTGAGCCCTAGAGACAAAAGGTCGTTGGAGCAGAAGTCTATGGCATCTCCGGTTTTCCAGGTATTTTGACCTCGGGTAAGCATAGATTGGGTAGATCGTCGAATATCTAAAGCCTCCTCGAGATTTCGGTAGAATGTTGGAGCATCTTTCATCTGGGGGCCCACAGGCTTTTGGCTCTTAATCCATGAGACCACCTCAGATATGATTTTGCTGTTAGCTGCCATGGTGAAACTGTAGGTAGTGAAGAACGTTTTTTGCGGCAGTTCAAAAGCTATAGAGTGGTACTAAAAATGTTTAGTGATACAATCAGCCAATACGACGAATTACTTCACACCCAATTTGATATATATATTACCTAATTAAGATCGTGAATAGTCCCGTCGGCGATGCGGCTCGAGATGCGGCTCATCGCTAACACGGGTTCCGGCCAGCGAAAGGAGGAGCTTGCCGGTATGGGACCCGGCTTAAAGCTATTTTGTAGACTATAGGGGGACAAGTGCAGGGTATCAGCAGGGATCATATTTTGAAGTTTTTGAGAAGAAAAAGCTGCTTCTATGACACAGATAACTAGCTTTCATTTCTCACAAACATCAGCAACGAATCACAGTCATGACTATAAACAACAATTGCAACAATGATGGCCAGGACGTGACAATGGAGTCGAAACTGAATGGAGCCAGTATGAACGGGCGTTCAACTAACGGTGTGCATACGAAAGGCTCATTACCCGACACCAACAGCGTAAATGGTGTTTCTGCTGAGGCGGTCCATTGAAATGGCCAAATGCTCATCGCAATTTGTGGAATGGCATGTCGTCAACCTGGTGGCCTAACGACACCTGAAGAACTTTGGAATTTCCTCCTGGCAAAGAAAGATGGTCGATGCCGTGTCCCGGAGTCAAGATATAACATCAACTCATACTATTCGGATGCTAGACAACCGGGAACTGTCTCAACAGAGTACGGATACTTTCTAGATGAAAGTATCGATATCGGCGCTCTGGATGTCCTTCTTCACCATGACGCGCACAGAGGCAGAGCGAGCCGATCCTCAGCAACGACTGATGTTAGAAGTCGCAAGAGAAGCATTCGAGGATGCAGGTGTGACAAACTGGAGAGGTAGGACTATTGGTACTTATATTGGCAATTTTGGAGAGGACTGGCTGAAGATGCTTGGAAGGAGACTCAGTCATGGGGGATACATCGTATATCTGGCCCAGGAGACTTTGTTGTGGCCAACCGCTTATCCTATGAGTTCAATTTACAAGGACCTAGGTATATCCCTGAGTTATATTGACATTGAAACGTTTCCAGACTGACACTCTCAAATAGCATGACGATTCGCACGGCTTGTTCTTCCGCGTTAGTGGCCTTGAATGAAGCCTGCGCTGTTATTAGCAGAGGTGACTGTGAATCCGCGCTAGTAGGGGGTATAAATCTCATTCTTGCACCGGGGACGTCAATGGCGATGCAGGAATAGGGGGTCCTCTCTACGGACGGTTCATGCAAAACTTTTTCTGCTGATGCCAACGGGTACGCCCGTGGAGAAGCGGTTACAGCGGTTTTCGTCAAACCATTAGCGGATGGCCTTAGAGATGGCAACCCAATTCGGGCTGTCGTGAGAGCCACATCCCATAACGCGGATGGGAAGACTCCAACGCTATCACAGCCTAGCACTGATGCACAAGAAGCCCTAATAAGGAGAGCATATGAGCTGGGGGGTATCAATAACTACGCGGAAACTGCCATGGTCGAATGCCATGGAACGGGAACGCCCACTGGGGACCTTATTGAAGCGAAAGCGGTCGCCAGAGTTTTTGGGGACAAAGGCGTCCACATAGGATCAGTCAAGCCAAATCTCGGACACACTGAAGCGGCACCTGGCTTGGTATCACTCCTGAAGATGGTGAAAGCACTTGAACACCGTATAATCCCTCTAAATATCAAATTTCACAATCCCAATCCAAGCATTCCGTTTGTGAATTGCAAGCTCACAGTGCCCACGAAACCAACTCCGTGGCCAGAAGACAGACTCGAACGGGTCAGTGTCAATTCATTCAGGATCGGTGGTGCAGATGCCCATGTTATTCTAGAATCTGCCGCTACTTACAATATCCGGACTCCAGTTTACGAAACTCTGGAGACACCCCAGCTTCTACTATTCACAGCAAATTCGCCAAAGTCAATCACACAGCTAATTGACAATTACAAAGCATGGATTGAGGAGAATCAGGACAAAGTGAGTGATTTGGCCTACACTTTGGCGAGAAGGGAACACTTGCCGTACAGGGCATTTGCAATTGTCAGTAATGGTGTCGTTGAAAGTGTTTCGCAGCCTACAAAATCAAAGTCAGTGAAACCCCCGAGTGTCGTGAAGGTTTTTATTGGTCAATGTGCCCAATGGCCCCAGATGGGACGAGAATTGCTTCGATCGAATGAAGTCTTCAAGTCTAGCATCAGAACTCTTGATAAGCACCTACAGACCATTGATGCTGAGCAACCTCAGTACACAATCGAAGAAGAGCTCAAGAGACCAGGCAAAAGGAGCCGACTATCTTTGGCCGAAATTTTCCAACCACTTTGCACTGCTATCCAGATTGCACTGGTAGATACTCTCAGATCAGTAGGGGTTGTCCTAGATGCAGTCGTGGGCCATTCTAGTGGTGAAATTGCTGCAACATACGCCTCCGGGGCTCTTACAGCTAAAGAGGCTATCACCACTGCGCACCATCGTGGGGCTTTACGGGCAGGCAGAAGCGACCAGGAACGATGGCAGCCATTGGAATGAGTTGGGGAGAGACTGAAAAGTATCTCGTCCCAAATGTAACGATCGCCTGTGATAACTCTCCCAAGAGCGTTACGATTTCAGGAGACATCGATGCTGTAAAATCTGTTATTGCTACTATCAAGGAGAAACAGCCGCAGACACTGGCTAGGCTGCTCCAAGTTGATAAAGCCTACCATTCATACTATATGAAAGAGATTGGGGAGCATTACCAGATTTTAATCGATGAGGAAGTGGTTGGCAGGGCCCCGTCAGCGCACTTCTTCTCTAGCTTCGACTTCGCATCAACAGGCAGTGGGAAACATTGTTAATGGAAGGCAAGGAGATGAGGTCAACTACCACATCCACCCTACTGTGCTTGACGGGACCCTCCAGATTCTTGGAGCTGCGGCGGTCAATGGATATGCACGCAAAACTAAGGCCTGGCTCCCAACCAGCATCGATAAAATTAGTGTCAACAGGTGCATTTCGGACGTAGTCACTAGCGTTTCAGCTAAGCTATCCAGTAATTTCTCGGTCATTGGGGATGGTCGTTGCACATCTGGTGGCATGACGGTCGTGGAATCCATCGGCATTCGAATGTCACTCGCAGATAGCGCCGGTGCACCCGAGCTTCCAGACGCACACGCAGCATCGAGGTGTGAATGGAGGCCTGACATCGATTTCTTGCATATGAATGAGCTCATACACGCACCTGCCGGCCGTACAGACCACCTACGCCTACTGGAAGAGCTTGGGGACATATGCTTGCTATTGTCCCAACGGAGCTTTTCCGAATCTCCAAGAAGCCCTATGCTTCCCCATTTGTCAAAATACGTGGCTTGGGTCCGGGCTCAATCCACCTCAATAGTTACCAGGTTACCCTGGACTTGGACAGGCCTTGACAATGAGGCTATCTCTGCCCGAATCGAAGGTATAATTAGTCGGCTAGCGGACACAGCCGCAGCTCCAGTCGCCAGTATCATCTGTCAGATTTGCACAAATATGGATTCTTTCCTGTCTGGCGAGAGCTTCGGGAATGGTTTCTCAGATGGAATGCTCATACCTGTCTATGAATTTATCGGACAAATGGACCGAACGGAATTTATTCAGCATCTGGGTCATTCCAAGCCAAACCTCCGAATTTTAGAGATTGGAGCCGGAAAGGGTGTGTCGCTGCATCATTTTATTGTCGACGAATTGACTCGTCCCGATGGTGAGATTCTCTGCTCCAAGTACAACATAACTAGCCCTGGGTATGTTGTGAAAATGACTCAAGAGAAGCTATTTCCAAATATGGACTTTGCGAGCTTCGATATAAGCAAGGATCCCTTCGACCAGGGATTTGAAGAAGTGGGATATGATCTCATTATAGCCGTCAACGCTCTTCACGAGGCAGAAGATGTTATAGGGAGTCTGGCCAACATCAAAAAGCTCCTACGCCCCGATGGCAGATTGTTTCTGCAAGAACTTTGTCCCTCATCAAAATGGGTCAGTTATGTGCTCGGGTTACTCCCAACCTGGTGGTCAAATGTTGCTAACGAGCCGGCTGGGACACTTCGTTTGAGCAAAGAAGGGTGGATTTCAAAACTTGGTGCTTCAGAATTTGGCAATATTGAGGCCGTAACCCTGGATGCAGACGAACCTCATCAGCTTACGGTCACAATGGTCGTAAGGCGGAGCTGCTCGACGCCCACGAAAAAGATCACAGCTCTTCTTGAAGACGAAGGACCTGCTGTCACTTAAATCTTGGACCAGCTTGATAAGGAGGGCTATCAAGTGGTCAAGTGCAAATTGGGTGATATTCCGCCAGCAGGACAGGATGTAATTTCACTCCTGGACGTTGAGAACCCCATTTTCCACGACATCAAGGAAGCACATTTTCTGTTATTCAAGACCTTCCTCCTTGGCTTACAAGACCGCGATGCAGGAATGCTGTGGGTAACTCATCTCATTGACATTGGCTGTAAGGATCCGCGATATGCACAAATTCTCGGCCTTTCCAGGACCATCCGTACAGAGCAGCTGGCCGATTTGGCGACCTGTCAGGTCGACAGCTTCGAGAGTAACAATTCCATTAACCAGCTTCTTCAGGTCCTAGCTAAGTTTCAAGCACGGAATGGGGACGAAGAGCTCAATCCAGATTTCGAATGGGCTATTTTTAACGAACGAGTTCAAGTCGCACGTTATCATCCTTTCGTCCTGACGGATGAACTCTTGGTCGCAGAGGGAGCGAATGAGATGGCTACACTAAATGTTCGTACACCCGGGCGGGTCAACAGTCTGCATTACGCACGTCATGAACGGAAGGTCCTTGAAAGCGACGAAGTAGAGATTCGGGTATATTCGGCTGGCTTGAACTTTAGGGTAAGTCCTAACGCCGCATTTTCAATAATGTGTACTAACAAGCCGTACGTAGGATGTTTCGGTTGCACTGGGTATTGTTGAACTTCCGGTCCGTCTCTTCGGCATCGAGGCCGCTGGAATCGTCACTCGTGTGGGAACAGATGTTAGCCCTAATGACCTTCAGATTGGCGATCGTGTCGTTTTCTTTTGCAGAAAAGACGCCTTCTCCACGTACACAACGACCCTGGCGGCTGTTTGCGTGCGAATTCCAGATAGCCTCAGCTTCAATCAGGCGGGAACAATGCTTATTCCATATTTCACAGCAATCCACTCTATGATCAATGTCGGACGTGTTAGCAAAGGCCAGGTAGGAAGCACGAAGACCCGAGTTTATTGGCGTCATAATCAAAGGAAAATCACTGATTAATTCGTATTGCATAGTCCGTCCTAATACACAGCGCATGTGGTGGAGTCGGTCTGGAAGCTATCCAAGTTGTCCAAATGCTCGAGGCTGAAGTATATGCCACAGTTGGAAGTGAGAAGAAGGTTGAGTATTTGATGGAAAACTATCACATCCCACGGAACCGAATCTTCAATTCCCGAGACAAAACATTCGTGGATGGAGTCATGCGTGAAACGGAAGGTCGTGGCATGGACTTTATTCTCAACTCCCTCTTAGGCGAACTCTTACACGCTACATGGAGCTGTGTTGCTGAATTTGGAACAATGTTGGAATTAAGGAAGCGGGATTTAATCGGTGATGACAAACTCGATATGAAACCCTTCTTAGCGAACCGCAGCTATTGTTGTGTCGACATTAACGGGCTTTGGAAAAGGATTCATATAGCCAGGGCCTTGATATTTTCCATACTGAAATTTTATAACAAGGGACACATCTCCCCTCTGCCCACCACTATATTCCCAGCATCCCAGACGCAAGACGCGTTTCGATTCATGGAAAAGGGTCAGCACATTGGACGTGTCAGTGTTTCGATGAAGCAGACCGAGGAATCTGAACTTGAATTCGAAACCACTAAGAGAACATTGAAGATCGCCTTTGATGAAGCATCCTCTTACTTAATGGTTGGAGGCCTTGGAGGCATCGGTCGTGCCGTGTCTACCTGGATGGTCGACCACGGTGCCCGTGAGCTTATCTATCTATCTCGAAGTGCTGGGTGTACCAGTAAAGATGACGATTTTGTCCGCGAACTCCAGAGCATGGGTTGTGCCGTTAAACTCGTGAGCGGAGATACCACGAAGCTCGAGGATGTACACAGAGCAATTGCCGCAGCGACATACCCCATGAAAGGTATTATGCAGATTTCTATGGTTGTCGCTAACGAAAACTTCACAAAGATGAGTTTTGACGAGTGGAATGCGTCGACAGCGCCCAAAGTCCAGGGGACGTGGAATCTGCACAACGCTACTCTAGCTGCAGGCATTGATCTAGACTTCTTTGTGATGTTCAGCTCGGTGTCGGGCATTGTTGGACAAGCAGGATAGGCCAATTATGCCAGTGGAAACAGCTTCCTGGATGGCTTCCTGGATGCGATTGCACAGTACCGTAACGGTCTAGGCCTCACGGCCTCCGTTGTTGATATGGGGGCCGTCGAAGATGTTGGGTGGATTTCAGAGCACCAAGGAATGATGGGTAAAATGTCAAGAAGCGGCTTCAAGCCAGTTCTGGAGCAGGAGGTCATAGACGCGATGGCGATATGCATGCTAGTTCACAACAAGCCGGGTCATGCCGCTGAGGAAGCCCTTGCTACGGCTTCGAAAAACGCTTCATGCTTCGTTCACAAAAACACATTTCTTGTCGGCCTTGCATTGCTCATCCCGCTGCACGATCCCAGCAACTATGTGATCTGGAAGCGAGACCGCCGTATGGCCTCATATCATAATAACTCAACGATCAGCACAGCCACAGCCTCCACAGATATCGTCAAGTCCTACTTGAGCAGTGCTCAAGCGGATCCTTCAATTCTCAAATCGTCGGAAGCAGCGAAGCTTTTTGCCATCGAAATCGGTAAAAAACTCTTCGACTTACTGCTCAAACCCCAGGACGAGATTAATACAAGCTCCCCCTTGCTCGACCTTGGCCTTGACTCGCTGGTGACTCTCGAGTTGCGTGCTTGGATCAAGCAGGTTTTCTCTTTCGACCTTCCTATATTGGAAATGATGAGTATTAGATCACTCGACATTCTCGGTCAATATGCGGCGAACGAAGTTTACAGGACTGCCACGGAAAATAACGAAGGCTAGGTATTTCGTCTCGGTGGATATCTTGGCTATGCAGTGAAAATGATATACCGGGGTGGCATTCGGGTCTGACGGTTGAAGAGACATTGGTTGCCTAGGATGAGATGGCTAGAGATAGGTATGTAATTAAAAATGCAGCCTATGGGTTGAGCCAGCCACCAAGCTGCAAATTTATCACACGTCCTAAGTTTGTTGATCCATCAGCCCTCACATCAGTCTCCTCCAAATCTCGGAGTACTTCCTCTATGTATTCACCTGCGCCGCTAAGATTCATGATCTTTGCAATGGCTCGATGGACACCGAGGAGTCGAGCTGATGGCGGGTCAATAGTCCGACTGGGGCTAAGTAACAGCGTACGGGTGACTGGGAATAGCGGATCGCGTAGAGAGGGGTTTTGCTCCGTTGAGTCAATTCTATATTGATACTGGGTGCTTGTTGGTTCGAAGTATATCTTGAATTCACCAAACTCCCGATGGTGATCATGTGTCAGTGTAAGAGCGTTCAATGGGCTGTCAATTTTCGGGCCGTCAATAAGGTGAATAATGCCGGGGTCAAACATGTCTAAAATCCGGAGTACATTCTTCTTCGAGTCACTCTACAACGTTGTGTCAGTATAGCAGAAGGCACGGAGTGCATTCTAGCAGACGTACTAGCTCAGTGTTCTGAGATGCAACCGCTGTTAGGCAGTGCGGCAAAATATGGGCAACTTGCAGGTACCCGAACTCGTCGTTTCGCTTATTCTTCAATGGATTTCCGTCATCATCCTTGAAATCATCACCATCCTGCTCCAACCGCCTGCTGGCTTCGCTTTTATCAAACTTCCGAGAAACTACGCATCGATGATGATCACGCACGAGGCAATTTTGTCGCAGGATAGATACACGTTGCGTCGTGCCGGTAGGCGTGGACGGCTGTATCGAGGACAGTGACGAGGGCGTTGGTTGCGGGGTCTTCGCCGACGAAGCTCTCACTGAAAATGCCGAATTAATTTGTGATTCTGCTGATCAGGAAGTACGGGGACATACGTGGGAGAAGAAAATTCTCGACGATGTATTCAGCAAATTTTTCAGAAGCACGATTGACGTCCTCCTTTTGATTCTGATCCCAGGTAGAAAAATCGTCAAAGAAGGACAGGGCAACCGTAATGTCTAGCTCCGTCGAATCCGTTACACCTGGGCATAGGTTCTCATAAAGGAATGAGAAATAGAACGAGAGGAATGCATCTTGAGCTTCAATATGTTCGAATGTGAGCTGGATAAGTGACGCCGGTTTAAAGCGGCGGCGGATAGTCTGCTCGACGCCGTAGAGCTGGACGAGGCTTCTGAGAAGTGTTGTTGCTCTTTGACGCTGTTGGGAATTCAGTGAAAAGGGGGTGGAGAAGTCCAATACCCTTTCTAAAGACGACTGATGCCGATGCAAAGCCATAACTATTATAGAGCTGGTACAGCGAAGGCGAGTGGCCTGATGAACCGCGTCCCGTCGGGTTAGCACGTAGTTTTACTGAACGATGGAGGTTGGGGCCGGGGATGATGTTGGCGCGCAGGAACAAAGTTGGACGTCATGCCGAGCGGATAGTTAGGTAAGCAACGAGTTCTGTATTACGTAAGCTACGACGGGACGTGTAACTGCTTGATGGAACGACCGAGACGGAAAGGAAATGTACTCAACTTACAGTCATCCCAAGCTTCTTGACCCCAGCTGAAGCACATCCATTCATAATCAAGCTGGAGACGGTGCAGAAGTTATCAGAGCGTGCATAACGGTTCGTGGGATTTAGGTCTCAATATCCTCAAGGATCTCCTGGGTTGTGGACCAAAGATTACATCGAATTGGCATTGCATCTAGGTTTGCATGACCTACAGGGTGCTATGGAGGATTTACAGAATGTCATTAACCAGCCTAAACACTGGGACACAATGGATTATCAAAAGACTGGGTAGTTAAACGCAGCTACTCTCTACTGGCTACTCAATTACCCTGATCTATCATACATGATATTTTACAGAAACATTCGTATATGTGCCCCGTTCCCTTTAGGGGTTTGGAATTAGACGACATTAACCACCCATCTATACCAATCCATATTATTCCTCGAATCGCTGATTCCCAAGATTTTCCCCACTCAGGGTAATCTCGTCGATAAATATTGAGGTCACAAAACCCAGTCCACCGAGCCCTGTCATCGTATAAAATATCGTCTGGAAGCACTTTAGATAAACTTTCAAAACAGGAAGAAGCGTTTCAGAGGAAACGTCTAGAGTTCTGAGCTTTTCAATAAAGGCGACGGCAATGGAGGCATCGCGGAGGGGTAGCAGGGGACCTGTAAGTTGTGCTGCAGAGGATGATATGGTTGTAGAGAAGACAGTGTTAAAGACTGTCGAGGCGATGGTTAACCCAACCAGCCCTCCAAACATACGAATAGTGAGAAATAGCCCGATCGCTAGGCCTGTGTCGTCGACCTTTTTCACGCTCGCTTGCATGGGTAAAAGATTAAGACGGAGAAGAGCAACGCCTGCTCCCCAGAGGATAGGAAGTCCAAGGCGCATTGATGATGTTGACTCTACACGGAGAAGGGCTAGCAAGCCGGTTCCCAGTGTAAGTATAATCCATGAAAGCCGTAGAAGCCATACATATCCTCCAAAAAAAGGAACCATCATCATTGAGGTGGCTGCAAGCAATACACTGGTAACGACGGTAGGCAATAGAGAAACGGCGGATAATATCGGAATTTCTAGCTGTACGGCTTGGTAAATCAGGGGCAAATATTGTAAAAGCGAGACCAGAGTTGCGCCGTGGATAAAACCTCCTGCTAATGTCATATTTACAGTCTTCGAGTGGAAAAGGCGATGAGGCATGATAGGGGCTGCGGGTTTTGCTTCGTAAAAGCCAAATATAGCAAGAACTAAAAACCCCAGGAGCATTGGGACAAGAGTTTGCCAGGACGACCACGGGAATAGGGAACCGGCCCAGCTGATAGGTAAAACTAGTATAGTAATACCAACTATAACGAGCATCATACCAATCCAATCCAAGCGGGCCAGGTTTTCAGCAAGTGATTTTTCCAGTGGGACTGGCCGTAATTTGAGGAAGGAGTATATTAGGGGCATGCCAATCCCTAGTAACGGCAGGTTTACCCATCCAATCCATCTCCAGCTAGCATAGGTAGCGAAAAGTGCGCCAACAGAGGGTCCCATTATATTGCCGATAGCCAGCACAATGCCCATCAAGCCAATATATTTGGAGCGTTCCTGCAGCGTCGTCATATCGGCGATAACCACCTCCACTAGAACATCGATTCCTCCTCCACCAAAGCCTTGAAGCACTCGGCCAATAATAATAGTGTTCATATTTTTGGCGACGGCAAAAACGACGGAGCCGACGAAAAACAATGTCATGCATACGTATAAAGGCGGTTTTCGACCAAATACGTTGGAAATACTCGCCCAAATCGGTTGCATAGCAATGCCACATAGTGTATAGGACAAGTTCGCCCAGAAGGACTCTAAACTTTGGCCCCCCAGATCAGCAGCTATGGTCTATCAAAAATATCAGTATGGATAAAATATGTATGATGGAGTTGAGGAAAGATGTGTATATTGCTCACCGGGAGGGCAATACCAAGAGCCGTTGCATCCAACTGAAAGACAAAAAGGCTAGAAGCAAGGCCTACAAAGGCCAGCTTGAAGGCCAGCGACTTCTTTGGCGATGTCTCGACATCATTTGCTGCATTTCTCTCTCCTTTCTCTATCTCTGTCTTCTCTGATATTGGCTCTGGATCCGACTCTCCCGGACCAGCGGGCGTAGAAATCTCGGCACTAACTCCACTAGTTTCAAGCTTTGAGGCGCTCATGCTCAAAATAAACTAGTACGATCGACTAGTTAGTTAGCTTATCTCTCAGCCAATGTCAAAGTCGCGTCAACCTGAGAAAAAGGGCAATTTTCCGAGGAATTGGAGGCTGAAGATGAGTTATCCAGATGAAATAAATGACCGAACAAAAATGAACGTGCATCCAGGCGAGGATTAAGGGGAACAAAGGGGGACAAAAGGGAAAGAGCGGCACCGTCCCGGCGGTTCGCGGAAACTGAGGGAAATTGGTTATCACGTGCCTGCTTAAGGAGCGAGGTGGAGCAGGGGAACGCCGGGTTCCGGAAGCCGCTAACGGGAAGGTTCGGGCCGCCCGGTCCAGTGGGTCCAGCAAAGAAAGGCAGATGTAGATGGCTAATAAGCTCGTGATGGGATAATAGGCGTTCAAATTTTCTGGAAGTGCGGGTTTTGAATGGATCGCGGGAATTTCGATGGGTTTTCTCTACTTTGGAAGGCAACGCGCCTCTCCAGCTACAGTGCCAACAGACACTATCATTCCTTTTCATTATTGGGATGATGATCACCATACATGAGGCCTCTCTTTCGATATCGTGATTCGCTTTGATGATGTATTAGATCATGACAAGCTGCGGCGTGCTTTATCTCGGCTGCTCGAAATAGGAGATTGGCGGAAGCTTGGCGCTCGAATCCGTAGGAGTACAGACGGAGGATTAGAATACCATGTGCCACAATCTTTCAGCAACGAACGACCTGGTTTTGCATTCTCCACGACTGGATATGACATGAATTTGGCTGAGCATCCGCAAGCATCGCGCTTAGCTCAACCTCATAATCTTCATGCGGCCGGTCGCCCCTCTGTTTTTAGCACTGCATATGCCACTACACCAGAGATCAGGTCCTTCATCCGGACTGCAGACTTCCCCGATCGCTTGGAGGGTTGGCTATGCTCGGACAGCCCCCAACTGAGGGTTAAAATTGTTGTCTTTCAGGATGCTACACTCGTTACTATTTCTTTCCCACACAGTCTAATGGACATGGTAGGCTTTAATGATATCCTAGATGCATGAGCGGCAGTGCTGCGCGGGCAGGAAAATCGAGTGAAGCCCTTTATCGGATTCTTTGAGAACACATTAGCCGGTCTCAGCAAGACGAAAAAAAATCAACTACAGAATTATGTGTTTACTGACACGTTGCTAATGGGTTTTGCACGGTTCTTGTTTGCATTGCGCTATATATTGACTGTTGAGCTGTTTTGGCATCGCAGGGAAGAGGTTCGTGTTATTTTCTTGCCAACCAAATACTTACAAAAAATGCGTGGTAAGGCTATTGACGAACTTACATTAAATCATGCCGGAGACAGCAGCAGACTCCCCTTTATTAGCGAAGGAGATGTTCTATTTGTTTGGTGGACAAAAGTGGTTCTCCAAGCTGAATCACCTTCTCCCAGTTGCACGATTAACATGCGGAATACATACTGTTGCCGGTCCGTTTTAGCAGAGCTTGGCCACATACCATCAGCTACATCTGTATTAGTAACCAATGCAGTATTTGCGGCTCTGACATTTCTTTCCGTTCGCCAGGTTCTTGCCGAGCCTCTAAGTTTTACTGCATCCGAAGTCCGCAAGTCTTTTATACAACAAAGAACTCCAGAGCAGCTCCAAGTATTAGATGCTATTCAAAGAAACACGCTCGACAATGCACATCATCCAGCCCTCTTTGGAGACCCCAATATGTATATAATAATGATATTAAATTGGGTCAAGGCCAAGCTTTTCCAAGTGGATTTCTCTGCTGCAGTCCAAAGAGAAGGAATGTCGCTGAACAAGCGGAGTAATCAGCTGGGCAGACCGTCTTGTATTCAGGGTACTGGGACTAGAGACTATGCAACACGAAACACTGGCGTGGTGATAGGAAAAGATGCTGCTGGGAATTGGTGGCTCTTGTATACTCTGCGGAAACAAAATTGGCCGGCGGTAGAAGAGCAAATTCTTTCTATGGTAGAAGATACGTGATTATTTAGATACATATTCACTTTCTAATCTCAAAATAATAAAGAGTTGAAGGAAAGTACTGTAACTCGCCGGATTTAGTTCCAGTAAATAAATAAGCTAAAAAGACATTTCCTTGTCCAATCTGTGATACTCGGGGTTTACCAACTAAGTCTTCTATTTGACAACCTTTTAGTCTCGTAGAGGTCTAACTAGTTATAGCCTCAATAGACTGGAACTTTTCTTTAGCAAAGAAGGACAGGTTTTGCTTTATTGATATTAATGACTACTGTCTTCTCGACACATGGTCTCTCACCTCCTTCTTAGGATCGGCACAACGAACCATCCCATCACAACATTCATCAATGAATCTACAATCCCAAAACCCCTCTTCTGACTTAACCCTGTCATATTGGTAAACAAAAGACTCGCAGCCAATGAGTCCTCGCAGATGATAAAGTCGCCCTTTTTTCACCCGCGCGATAATACCCAGGGTGACCTTTTTAGAGGATGGCAATTTCTTTTCTAGCTCCGAAAAAGTAGGTACGTTGGTTCCTTATATGCGTTTGGTGAGGTCAGGCTTGATATCTTGTTCAAGCACGAACCCAGGGGATATGAAGTCAGCCGGGAAGGCAATGTGAATTGTATAAGTGGTAGTTGGAGAGTTGTGCGGAGGACTTCAAAACGGAGAGTGTCTGCTAGTGCTCGAACAGCGCTTTTTGCGACTTTATATGGGATGATGTTAGCTAATGATCACAGAGTTGGATCTATAGGGAATAATGAGTTTACGGGTGTAGGAGACACTCCCAGGCAGCCCCAAAAACGCCGCGGCGCTATTTATGAAGACAATCTTCCTGATATTTGGACCATGCTTTTTCTGTGTTTTGTTGATAGCTATTGGATTTTTATCATTCTCAACCCAAATATCCAGCATGGCTTTTGCAGCATAGGCAGTTGAATAATAATTGTTCTTCATGCAAGAATCAAGCTGTGCAGGCTTTAGGTCGAGGAAAAACCCGTTCTCTGCATGGTTTCCGCCAGCAGAGCAATACAGAAAATCTGCTATTCAAGACTAGGATTTAAATGCTTCGGCAACCAGTTTTATAGTCAGGGCAACAAACCGCAGAGGCATCAGCCATATCAACAACCACCGCATTTATCTCTTGTTTACTAACATCCGCACAATTTCAAATTATTTCGTTCCTCGTATCTCGCAGAGGGCCGGGTCGTCGCGTAAATATTGTCACATGTGCACCTTAGGCTGAATATCAGTAAATAGTCAATGTATATTTTCTACCGTTCAAGCTTGAAGAGCTTTCAAACCCCGTGAAGCCACTGCGTTGGAAATTGCTTTCCCTAATCTGCCAGAGCCACCGGTAACAAAAACCGTCCGTAGAAAACGTTAGCAGGTATAGCCGCTTGGCACTGATATTGCCTGTTGATGACCTTTCTATAGAATAGACGCGTACTTTACCAAAGAGATCCCGGTCTGTGTTCATCCTTTGATTCCAATCTGTGGGTTTTCAAGGTCAGTGTGAGCGAGGTCTACCCCAAAGTTTCATCATGTTAAGAACATTCTATGAATAAAAGTGTCCATGTAGCCCCCTCTTCAAGAGTTAAGAGCTATTTGGAGTGACGTAGAGAGAACCTTCGGTATGCTCGGAGTCAATCGGGGCGATCGCCGCCCGGGTCCCGTTCCCGCGAAAGTTGCGGGGAACCTTAAGCCACGAGGTCTTGGCGCTTTCGTCACCACGTGACTATTTGCTCACCCCTCCCGGAACAAGCCACAACGAAAGAGCAAAACAATGGCTGAACAGCCAAATGAGTACCAAATGAATACACCAGTCCCATATGGAACAGATATATACGGCGCTGCAAAATTCAACAGGGAGGGATGGCGGAGTGGCCAGTGTTATCTTGATAGTGTTGGCACAGTGTCTGGCGACAGAAACGCTTAGGTAAGCTGCCTTCTAGTTATCGCTTATCCGATTCGTTAGCCAAACGCTGGCTTCCTCAACATGGCATGACCTGGGCAGACTTTTAATACTGAACCCTCCTAACTTATAAATCCTTTCAAATGCGCTACAACTCCGTAAGGCCTATCTATCGGCTCCTTTCCTGTGCCGGTTTTTGAGACATCCGAGAACCATGCGAATTTCCCAGTCTTTAGCCGTTGCGGAGGATGTCCTACGCTCCATCTTTCCTGCTGCAACCACTTACTTAGATGGAGTGTCTCTGCCGCTCTCTTCTGTCATCTTCCGCTCTTATCCTACATTCTGGCCTGCAATATTACCCGGAGCAATCTCTACCAGCCCATGACAGCGTCGATCATGGCCCGGAAGCGGGATATGGGCCTGGCCCACCACTGCACTTCGATCTCGTGTTCATTCAGCTCAACTGCAAACCCCGGAAAGTGCGACTGGGCCGAAAATACCAAGGATTCTACGGACAGATTTATGAATGCATTCCATGTTAACATTGATCGGGGGGACGAGCCCCCCAGCCTTGCCATCTTTATAGGTAGATCCTGCCAACTTCTCCTGCTGACCAAGTAATTCGTAAGTAGGGCCAACTAGCTAACTAACTAACTAGTTAACTTGAGAGACGATCACGCTAAAATATGCATAGCTACATGCTTAGTCGTTACAGACACTACACTCGACATTCTACTCTGTAGATACAGTTTGACGTCGCAGCCCATCTGTGTTAGACTGTCTAGATAGGGTAGAACACTTATCGACAACCTGTCTGGCGAGTATACAAGACTACTTCTTGTTACCAGAGATACTCGAGAGAAGCCAATACTGTTTATCCAGTGTCAAGGGCTCCCTGTTCAAGAGCTGCAGAAGAGCAACCCCGAGTATACTGCCTCGCATCACATCATGCTGACGAGAATGCGCTGTATCCCGTGACAGTAACATACATCACATCCTTCAGCAGCAACATGAATGGTGGGGTCTAGTGCTTCTATGGAATGTCTCAGATATAACTACGTTTTGCCCACAGTCGACCTCTTCATTAGTATAACTAGTTAGTGGTTTCACGCGGTCAACACACGCCTTGTCTGACAAGCTTCGGAAAATGGCTAACGAACCTGGCAGAGATGAATAACAGGTAAGTTGGCACACCTGGGTATGTTGTTGATCCAAAAGTTAATTCTATCAGTGTGCGACCAGTGCCGGGCCAAAAAGATACGCTGTAGTAGGGAGAAACCCTCCTGCAGAAACTGTAACCGCCTCGGTTTGCAGTGCGAGTGGTCTGGTCAAGGCAAAAGGTGTAATCAAACAACCCTCCTGTACTCGTCACTTCTTCACGCACGGATGTCTCCATCTTACAATTATTAGGAGTCATACAATCATAGGGATGGGCAGCCGTCTTCAGAGCTTAGAGGTAAGCCGAGCGCCGTCCAGGGAGGTGTCTCTGTACAGTATCATAACGAGTTCTGTTGAAAGGCTTCGATAGCGGACACACAAAAGTCGTTAAAACGGCTTTTCGAGGGGTCATTGGTTGTTTTGCCTCCCTCCTCAAGATACCCGGCCAGTCCTTCAAGGGCCACACCCCAGTTATCTCCTCAGCAGTCCGCAGATTCCTCAAAAATACCCGTGTTTACGGCGCCGCTTGGTCGTCACCATTTGGGCCCAGATGATGATAGGGTATTCTTTAGTCCTAAGCTCTTGAGTCGATAATGCTCCACATCAAGGATGAAATCTCTGAGATCCCTGATATCGAGAGCCATGCTTTGAAGGAAGGCATCTTGCAAGCACAACGCAAGGTCAGCCTTCTAGTTGATCAACGAGACGAAGAACTGAGCAGAGAAAATTCACCACCTACAACGCCCCCATTTGCCATTTTGGATGCCATGATCGGGCCATACTTTGCAACAACTAATCATCATTTCCCTATTTGGATAAAAGAAAGGTTCATTAGAATGGCTACTAATATGCTGCAATCTACGTCACCAGATCCGGATCTCGCCTCTATAATTCGCTGTAACAATTTCGTTCTCATGCTATGTCAGCGGACTCATTATGTTCATACCGACGGGAGCCAATGCCGAGCAAGCAGGCCCGCAACCCTTCATCAAATGACTGTGACATCGTTAAAGGCTTTTTGGCGAACCCAAAACGGGCTTTGAAAAACATTGACCAACTCATCTCGCATCGCTTAATAAACGTCCAGGCACTGTTATCCATGGTATGTCTTTCTGAACTGTGCTCTCCTGCCCCCCGCCTACATTCGAAGCTACATAGCCTTTTCTGATAACATGAAGTATATAGTTGCACAAGAGCACCTCTCTAAAGGCCTCTCCGAGACTCTTTTTGCTCTTGCTGCTCAATGTGCGAAGTCAATTGGTATTCACCAATAGAACTCCTTCCGAGGTGGACTCACCGACGAAGATGTTGAGAAGAGACGTAATATTCGTACTGCCTATACGTTCTTGACAAGGCAGTTTGCTGGACAGCGAGCTCCTCTGAAAGGAATGGGGTATCTTGCCTCGTCGCGAAAACTGAAATGGCCAAGATTGAAGAGACAGTCTATTTAGAGGTATATGCTAACCAGGTTAAGGCAAAGAATGATGACCAAGTTCGAGTGTTCGCAACCACGATCCTGTCAAGACTTCAGAGCTGGCTAGCTGACTCCGGAATTGACTTTGACAAAATTCAGAACTTTCCTAAAAGTTCTGCTCCAAATCTCCAGCTTGCCATTAGGTATCTTTGCGTTCAGCTGCTACTTATTTGGCCACATAAGAACCATCCAGACGGCTTATTCCAAAGGGGCTAAGAAGTCGCCAAAATGTGTATGAAATATTTGATTTGCCTTTGGAATTCCCCTCCAGACCAAGGAAATCATGCCATTTTTCCATTGTCAGTATACCCTTCTGCTGTCTTTGTGGTCTGTCGGTTAGAAGATGTGTAAACCTGATGGTTTGAGTCTGGTATAACTAGTTTTCTCGCGTCTCTCCCACAGCTCTATCTTTACAAAGTACTGTCGGCCATTCTCTGCGGTCAGGGATCAAAGTCAGACATCGACATGCTACAAGAGTATGTTGAGATGTTGAAGACTATTACTGACCGCCGAGCGGAATCATCACACAATCGCCGGCTATACTGGCTGTCACATATCATCACAGATGTGGTAAACACTAGGAGATCACAGCATAAACGACAGAAGTCAGGCCCAGAGCGACCAGCGAGTATATATCCAGAATCAGAGATTCTTTCACCTCCCACAGGCGGGTATAGGTACACAAACTCAGAATCTCAAGAAAACGCGAATTCATGTTTCGACAGTGCTATATTTCCAGGCGCGGACAGCTCTTTTAGGTTTATGAGCCCTATTAATACAGCAACTGGAGAGATAGCTCGGGAGCCAGATGAGTTTATGCCGCACTTGGGGAGCTATGCAAAGGCGGCTCTCGAAAATGAAAACTTCAGTCTTCTGGCCCATGGAATCGTTTCGAGACTCTGGATTCTTGGAAAGATATTAAGCTTGGTTAGGAATGACCTATCTTTCGATCTTTCGGCTTAGGTACCGATACTAGTATTTGATCTTTTTCATCTTTTTTCCTTGTGGGATAATATATACGCCAACATACTTCGTCTAGAACCAGAAGAAGAAATCACCTAATCGATAAGTATGAGGCCCTCAGCCGTTACTTTATCTCGGTAACTAACTTAAGGGACGGCACGGACCGTATCGAAAGTCAACCTGTGAAATTTAGAAAAAAAAAATGTCAACGGCTCTAGATCGGGTGACTTTTTGAGCCCAATTGTTATTGAAGCGTTTGTGTGTCCTGATGTGAATGGCTGGGACGGTCTGGAATCAGGCCATCTTAGACCACTCGACGTAGATGTCTTGAAAATTTCTGGGTGACGTCTATCTTGACTTAAGCCTGAAACTGTCTATTATTATTGTATGTTGAAACTATGGTCACGCTATGAACATGGCTAAAAAGAAAGGAATCATAACAAAAGAGCACAGGCTAGCATAGCCATTAATGCAACCAGGGAGAATCCCAACTCCATCTTTTGACTACCGGAAGATGCTGGTGCGGTCGGCTTGGCTCCGGATGGAGATTTAGTGGTTGAGGTCGGCGGAGCAGTTGGAGCAGTTGTCCCAGGAGTTGCTACGTTGCCCAACTTATCTCCTGGAATCGGTTTGCCAACTCCAGAACCGGTGAACGGCGTAGGGACTGGGAGGTTGCCGAGGACTGGAGCAGATTCCTTCGAGCCGTAGATGTTCTTTTCCGCACCATCAGGCTTTGTATAGTTGCCATGGATCAGGTTGACCTTGTCACCGCTGCTCGCCTGATAGTCACCCGACGCCAAATTGCCATGGGATCCATCTCTGAAGAAGAAGTTGGTGGTGAATGGATCCTGAGAGTGTCAGCATTTGCCTTGGGATACCCAGCATAGAGAGGTGTGCAGAACAAACTCACCCAGCAGAATGGGAGCTTCCCTCCGTCCAGCAACAGGCATTGTATCCCCGAGCCTGGTCCATTGCCTTTTCCCTTCCCCGTCAGATACATATAAACAGAGCAAATGGAAATAGGATATAAAAGACTCACAGCAGAGCTCCCCCTCCTCGCCTCTTCGCGCAATGACACCATGGTTCTTGTTGAGCGATCGCTTCTCGCGGCCATGTCCATGGCCCTTAACAGAGCTGAGCAGGTCTACATAGAAATCCACCATTTCAGGGCCGATGTCAGGGGGGTTTCCCGGCTCTGCACCCTTTGGATAGCATGGTACGTATCCATTGCTGCATGAACCGGCCGAGGTGGCTGCTGTGGCCGCTAGCCAGACGAGCAGTTGCAGGGAAGACGAACGCATCGTAGCAGACGAATATTATCGAGTCGTAACGATTAGCTATTATTATGTATCGTATATTAGGTTAAGGAGTGAATGTCAAGTTGCAAAACAACAAACGAATGACTGAATCAACAAACGAATGACTGAATCAACAAACGAATGACTGAATCAACAAACGAATGACTGAATCAACAAACGAATGACTGGATATAATCGCTGTATCACCGTATTCGCCCTTTGATCAACATAAAGCCGAAGGGGAATAAGGGGAACACTTGGGCTTTTGGGTCATTATTAGTATTAGTCCAAAGGGGGAGGGGCCTGCCTTGGGCTTGAAATTATTATTTATACAATTGGAGCCTTGTATTGGTCGGCAGGCGACTGCGGTGGCAACAACCCTGCGGGTGAGACACAACAAGGAAGAACTTGCTTCTCCCTCTTTTTATTTTATTTTTTATTTTTTAATGATTTGTTTTAATGCATTATTATCTTTTAGGCGAGTTCGTTCGCGAGTTAGTTTGTTGGTTAACTTAGTTACTTCTTAGGGTTATCAACTCCGTTGTAGGCCCGCCATTGATATGTGCTAACGGACGCTTCTGCACCAAAACAGAACAGAAATGCCTTCGAGATTCAAGCATTTACTCCGTAAATGTTATCGAATTAATACGATCGCTATATACCGCGTACCTTGCATGCCCTGCCATATGTCCATGCAGCGAGCTCATGTTGATCTGTGAAACCGCCGCTCCTTACATCGCCCAGATGGGTGTAGGTGGCGACGATGAGCCCCATAAGGAGCACGTGAGAAGCAACGGGCCGGACGGAGAGACGGCGTGGCTTGAGGGTAGAAGCTGGGTCGAGCTGCTTGAGACGTTAAAAGGTCCAATGCGGAAGAGTTGGCGGGTTAGGAGGTTGAATATTCCATATATATATATACGGAGTAGAGGGGGAGAGAGTAGGAGGTGCAAGAGATTAGATGTAAGAATCAGGTAAATGCAATAAGATAAAATGTAGCTTAAGATACACATGTAAAAAAAAGAAAAGGAGAATACTGCCCTCAGAAGACCGCTTTACTCGGCATGGTTAGGCAGGTGGATATGGTGGTATTCGAGCACTCGCGTGGTTAAGGGGGATGTTGTACATATGTATTCGCCGCACGTCAGCTCGACCCGGTAATCTCGCTGATAGATCTGGCGCCACTCAAGTTCACTACTCGTCCGCCACCTCCTTGAATCACCCCCGGAGCCCTACGACTGCCGCCAGAGCCCTGGGGTTTGACCCATCCAGGAATCTGGCCATCTTCGCGTTCTCGTGCATAGATTGTCTGCCACACGTTTGGAAAACCAGTAGGAAGGGCTCCCTTCAGTCGAGCTCCGGGAATGGCGTACCGTGGGTTCTTGTGAGTGAGATAGCCCCGCATCAGGTCCTGGGTAAGCAGGGAGGCGAGAACATTCTCGAGTTCTTGCATTAGCGGGGAGGAAGCGATTTCTGCTCCTTCGCTGCCGGTAATGGCAGGCTGTTGGTGTTCTTTTTCTTCTTCTGCTTCTTCTTCTGGAATAAGCGTCGAGTATGGATCAGGGACCCCTGCCATACCATCGATCATCCCGTCAACCGGGAGATCATCAGGGCTGTTGACATTGACATGCTGACCGGTGTGGTCAAAGTACCAGTCGGGACGGTTATAGTCGTCAAATGTAGAGTTATCTGCCATCTCGGAGGGGATGTTATTTTCTGGGATAAAGTCAGGATCTAATGGAAAAGAGGTAAGTTGCACACCGGCTTGTCTGGTTTGCGGTGACATTGGTAGCAAATTTGAATCATGTCGTGCACGGCTGTCGAGCCAGCGAACAGCAGCTTCGAGTTTTTGGAGGTAGAGAAAAGGAGGCGGTCCTCGCTGGGTCTGCATCTTCTGGTCTCCATGAAAACCTGCGAGAATAAACACTTTTCGTGTAAGTGACCGCCATACCAGGATCTCACATCGATTCCGAAGAGGGAGTAAGAGTCCCTTTCTGGCGAACCATTCGGCAGTCGGCGAGCTGACTGACAGATAATCTCTGAAAGCATGTATCTCTCCCTTGGCAATATACCGGCAGAGAGGTATAAATCTATCTCCTAGCCCTTCGGCTTCTGGCCTCTGGAGGAGCGTTCGGGATGGGAAACGGCCAAGGATGATATTACACGGTATAAGATACGTGAGAATTAGACCTCTCTGCTTCAGCGCCTGCCGGTGGCATTGATTGTATGCCGCCTCAAGGACGATCATGGCGGGGTAGAATAAATTGTTGGATAAGAGATATCGCCCAAGGTAGTAGAGATAGGTTACCCTTTGCGAAGCAGGAAAGTATTCCAAGGGTGGTGACTGTGAGTTGATGCTTGCAAACATTTGCTCCGCATTACGCAGCTTCCCGCACTAAATACAGTTCTCACGTTAGCAGCCTGACGAGCCCAGATTACGTTTGCCATGATATGTACCTTGAATAGGAGCTTTAGACACAGATTCGCCATCAAATATATCCCTGCTCTTTTTCCTTCTGGTTTTGCGTGGATGCCCGAGGTACCGCTTCTGTCGGTCAGGCATTTGATAAACGCTTCTCGAACGATATTTGTCGATTTTTCCACTAGTGTCACTTTCTCCCCAGTCTCGCCCTGCCCCGACTCTCCTCCTTCGTCCCTGAGGAGGTGTGCTATCAGCTCCGGCTGGCGGTCAAGCCCGATTGCAAGTTTCGAGAGCACCTTGCTAAGGTAAAAGACGGTTGGCAGGATAACAACGCCCATCTGGCTATCACCGAGAGCTATCACGCTCTGGCTGCAGTTAAAGTATTAGAATGTATCAGGAAGAGCAGAGCTGGTGTAAGAACAGTATCTAACCTACTTTAGCAAACCTTTGAGCAGGTTGTATGTTTCTAGAAGGTTGTCCACATTGACATCTCTCAAAAATGTCAAGTATAGACGCATGAAGGGAGGGAATGCAGGCCAGAAACTGCCTAGCTGCCCTTCAGCCGTCAGGCTTTCACATTTTGAGAGTAACTCTGTGTCTTTATTGTCTCCAGCCGGGTATCTTTGCCGCAATTCGGTCGTCATCTGGTTGTAAATGGCAGACAAGGGGGGCTCAAGCTGCAGGAAGTCCTGGAGCTTGGTGCCATCACGGCTCTGTAAAAGACCTCCAATGCTGTCGAGGAAGTTATTGAGGACAGGCGTATCGACGGAAGTGGTATTCCACATTGTTCTTTCGGCTTTTACTCGGTATTTCGCTTCGCCGTTTGGTCAAAGTTTTTGGTGAGCCGGGTGCGTTATGCTGATTAAACTGGTATCTGGCGGAGCGAGATTTAGGCTGCGTAAATATCATCCTGAAGGTAGCATCGTCTCAGCAGTAGTGGCTTGTCCGCAATGGGCCGTAATCCTCAGCTGTTGAGTATCGGTTCACTCCTCCGTGCGGAAACGAGTCTAAACGATGGGTGGTTAACGAGCGAAGGCAGGGTTTTCCAGCTACCGCGCTGCCGTAAGGAGGCCGGCCCAACCTGGAAATTGGTAATAAATCACTTACTCCGTTGACTAACCCTTCGCTAGCGGGTAAGTTGGTTAGCTGGCTCCCTCCGTGTGTTGTCAGTTCGTCGATGCTGTTGGCTGTTGCTTGTGTTTATCCTGTTTTAAGCCGCATGGGAGGAATTGATGGAGGAATAAACTTTCAGAAGGCAGGTTTCATTGGATGGATGTTGGGAGTTTCTGGCAAATAATATCATGTGAAAGCTTTTTATTCAGCCAATCATAAAAATTGGTAAAGTATTGTCCAATAATGTGAAGCTACATACGAGCTAAATTTCTGATACGTTTTGTATTGGACAGCAAGTCTTGCTGGAGATTGCACCCATAAGACAGTCACTGATATCACCCCGTCTATGCCAGGCCGAGTCATATCAACACTCAATTCAGACTACCTTAAGTTACAGGGATAACGCAGAGGTATCATCGGGGCAGATATGAGGTGCGAGCATGAGCAAATGATATGGGCCGCTCACTAGTTAGGAGGGAGTGAAAACCCACATTCTTTTGTGCAAACTGGAAAAACGTTCCCATCATCACTGAATACTCAAATTAACCTAAGTACACCGAGGACATGCAGGGATGCAAGGGACTGTTTGACGGATGACGGGCATGGTGTTAGAGCAGGTGATACTGTCAATAACCCCTAAGGCCCGTCCTCGTGTTTCTAAAGGAAAGGGCTTGAGAAAGGACTAAAATGTTGAAATAGCTATAAGCTGGTCTTAATAGATCTCGAAACGTGGGTTTGAATGAAGTGATGGTTGTTTATTTGTCTCTTACTTAGAACTAAGTAGTTATTCGAAGCTACAGAGTAAGAGGTCAATCCAAGGTAACTAGGGTAAGAACAGGGCCACGTGGTACTTGCTATCCTTCGATTTTGACTCTCCAAGGTGAAATACTCACTAGATAACTCCCTTTAACTAAGAGGTATTTACGGGGGTAATCTATTGAGTATTTCGACTCTAACCGCGAGCACAGAGTTACCTTTCACTCCACGGACGATCACGCTTACAGCGTGAGTGCGGAAAGGAGTTGCGGCCGGTTTGTCCTTCGTGATTGATTGCCAAGATTGGATATTTCGATGCTAGGGTTTGGGTTGCATTTCTCATTGAGGGCGAGACGAGCCGCCTTATAATTTTTAAGGAGTATCATTCGCCGGTTCCCGCATGAATGCATGGACTGTGATTGCGCATGCTGCTGCCTGTAGCCAATAGCTTTGTTGGGAGAGTGTGACTCATGTGCAGGGCATATAATGAAAGACAGGCATGATTGCCCGAGGGGAAAGGTATAAAAAGGTATAAGAGCACTCTTCTCCATACGGAGTACATGTTCAGACTTCCGTTCTGACATTCTACCTCTAAACCAGTTTCCCCTAGCTACCACTCGCAGTTCAGTCAAAGGCTTATCAACATGACTGAGAATCCACGGACGTCGACAGAATATAACATGAATATCTCGGAGGAGGAAGCGCGGCACCTGATAAAATCTGCCGAAGCATCTCAATCATCTAGGGGCAAGAAGCGAGAAAAATCTCTTACGATGAAACTTCCAACCGATACTAAGGTGGCCTAGCTTGAGGCGTCCGGCGAATCGTCACAGAAAAGCCGACCCATAACCAGGCAGATTCTGAGAGAGTACGAGGACAAGCAAACATCGTGAGTATCCACGAACGGCCCTTAAACTATTGCTGAGAAAAGTAGCAGCGCCAAATAAGACCGCTTGACGTGGATACGCATTCGCGAGCACCATTCCCTATTTCAATTAAACCCTGGCTGCCGACAAGTTCAATGGGGTTGTCTTCAATTATGAGTGTTGAATCGCGATAATAACAAATTGGTTTTCTGTATGTATAAAGTTATAGAGCTTTATCGTATCTGCAAAGCATGATTGGGCTTGGGGTCGATCACTTTCATTCCCTTTTGTATCCTAAGCTGTCAAATCCCTTAGCTTTCGTTGAACGAAGGCGTCCATTTCCTTACGCTCGTCATCGGTGAATTGGATTCTATTCTCAAGCAAGGCTATTCTCTGCTCGTGTGGTTGTTCTCCACCAAATATCGCCCGGTCGATGAAGGGCCAAACGATATCTAAAGCCCAGCTTTTCCGTAAACCGTAGTTGATCCAGAAAGCACCACTATTCCAACTATTATACATCCTTTTAGAGAGTCGCTCCCCATCAGATAATCGCCCGTCACGGATTGCAATATCTTCATGCCGCGCCATCGCTCGGAGAAAGACCTTAAGCCGCGAATCGTAAGTTACGGCCCAGTCTAATATGCCCGAAGGCCAGTCTTCAGGTGTTTCCAAAAGTAGCCACCATGGGGGACTATACGTGAATTCGGAGGGCGCAGAGTAAGTAAATTCCCAGTCAATCACAGCGACAACTTTGCAGTTCTTATCAATAAGTACATTTGTTGGCCGGAGATCGTCACAGAAAAGCTTATATTTATTGTGGTCCGTAATTTCTTCGCCCGTGAGTTTTGACTGCTCTGCGAGCTTAAGCATTATCTTTCTAATGGTATATTTACGGCGGCAATCCTCCTCCGAGTAGATGGCATCGTTGCGTTGTGTTGATAGATGTGTATATTGAGTCTCGGCAAGGCTCTTAAAATAATTAGATGCAGATGCAAAGGGAGACGATGGTAGAAAATCCTTGGGATAGCCGCCGAGTTGGACAAGCTCGTTCATATTCATTGTCAATGGACGTTTGGTGATAGCCCAGCCGCCGGGCCTAGCAGCTAGGCAACCAATCTTATTAAAAGAACACCTCGATAGCTGTAATATAATATCAGCCATTTGGCCATACAAAAATTCTAGCTTTGATTCATCGATATCGGAGTCGAGCACAGGACGATCCTCTCTAGTATAGCCAGGCTTCCTCAGCTTAGCCGTAAGATTGGATGCGCTGCTAACGAACTCCATCAGGATATATGGACCCATATCACAGGGTCCTTCCATGCCCCAGTCAAGGATAGTTGGAATAGGAATATCAGTATTCTCCTTGAGGTAGAGCATAACAGAAACCTCTGCTTGGGTCTTCTCCTCTGGAAACATACTACGGCCGGGGGATGCGAAACGTAAAAGGGAGGAAGTTCCATTATTAAACTCCATACGGTAACAGAAGTTGAAGGCACCAACACCTATTATACGGGCACGATCATTCGGTTGAGACACAGGGTATTTAGCTGCCATAAATTCAGTGACAGCCCGCAGAACATCCGGGCTTGAGGCTTTTTTCTTGAAGCTATCAAAGATCGTGTCACTTCGTTCCCAAGCAGAATCGTCGTATGCCATTTCCATTTTGGTGGCTATAACGCAATACAAATGTAGATTCTGACTGAAGGGATTGTTCTTTCCAAGGGTGGAGTGCTGTTTTGTGGATTTTATCCCATGTGAATGGAGCAGACTGATCTGATTAATCGAGTTATTTTAAGTTGAACAGTTGAACTAACTAGTTACACGTGACCCATAACTATTGGTGGATGAGTCAGGTAGAAGTATTCGCTACTTCCTATTGGATTACTAATTAGCCGCTAATTGAGTATGTCGATTGGTTAAGAATATCTATTATAAATCTGTGCCCGCTCATTCAACCAATAAATACCACCGGCACCTTATGCTTCGCAAGGAGGTGGCGCTAATTGGTTGTCTGGACGGGCCAGTCAGCTTTATTCTATGAATCTGTGATTGGTTTCTTTTGGTTACTTAAGTGCCGGAGGCGGATCACTATGGATCATAGGTTTCTTACAGGTCCCTGATGAGTGAAAATTGGATGGATGACCCCCCAGCCGTTCATATTATTTTATTCTGGGGTGATGATAATGACTCTCTCTGCAACCAATTAGGGGTTTCCCCTTAAAATTTGTTGGCCCAGCGGCTTGACAAAAATTAACGTCTTGCTTCTCCTTTCTTAGTTGTCCCACTACCATCATCATATATATGGCAAACCTTCCTACCATTCTCGCCAGAGATTTCTGCACTAATATAACCCATTCCTGGTCATCTCGGTTAAAATGGGATTGGTGGACAGGGTTGTCATCTCGATACCTAATTTCAAGTTAACACAATGTAACAAAAAAAGGCGTTTTCCAAGCTAAGCATACTTGATGTCGACTCTCTTCAACTTGCCAAGTCTCTGTCATCTTCAGTGCACTGCATTCAAGATAACAATAGAGCAGGAGGTTCGGCATTAACATACCGCTTCAGCACCTCCTCCTGGGCCTGTGAATCTCTCTACCGCAGATCGCCACTTTTCAGGTAGTTTATTTCTATCAAACCCGGCCCATTGGAGAAGAGCTCGAGCAGATGTGCTAAAGAGGCGAGACATAATGTCTTCACTTTTATCCAAGAGCAAGGTGGGGGAACAGCGGCACAGTTTTGAATGCTTCCAAGCTCCCGAAAAGAGGATTGTGAGAATATCGAGATGATTTGAGTTGCTTCGCCTTCTCCAGAAGTGAGGTTGTACTTTTATACCCCTCTTTCGATTATTAGCACCGCAGAGCCTGGATGATCCTGCAGCACAGACATTATCGAATACGATCTGTTGTCATTTTTATTCAGAATAATGACAAGCAAGGTAGCACTGATCATACGTTTAATTACGTTGTTATTTCTATTGGTTAAGAATATGTAATTCTGTATTTATACCCACCCACTCCACCAATCAACACCACTATCTAGAACCCCTATCACATGACTCAAGAGAGAACGGCTCAGGGGCAGGGAACATATATAAGAACTAGACACGCTACCTCATAGAGCAGCCCGCAGTTGTTCTCCAGCCAACGAATCCCCTACATTGCTCTCTCATCTGACTTACACCACGGAGCTGCCTCCTTAGAATGCACATGGGCAAAGCTCTCCGTGGAACCGATCCAGGGATTGACACTAAGCGAGATTGGAGCAGCAATACGTTCGAGATTTGGAATAATAGCTATAAGAAGATTCATCTCCTACGTATTTTGCAAATTGAAATATATACTTCTGCAGATAGCAATAACTAACATCTCCATTGAAGAAGTTGTACCATCCGCCAAGCTTGCGCTTAATCAGCAATAACTAACTATGTAGTTAGTTATCAGCCAATCTCAATTCATTAAGTTTTAACTAACTAGAGTATTCTGAAAATAAATGCTTTTTGCTAACTAATACTGAGCCTATTGTATCCACTGGATTCATACTGAGTATTTACGAAGCTAGTAGTGCATACAGAATTATTCTATTAGAGGGATTTTGCAACGAATTCGAGGCATATAATAAGAACTAACCTAGACTACCTAATCAGGCCTAGAAAGGCGCTACTAGTAAGGATATATATTTTAACGGGCGTTTTAGCCAAATACACTTATCAGCTAGCCTATAAGATATTATATTACTTAATAATAATTAAATAATAAAATTTATTTTATTTAAATATTATTAATATTATAGCTACTTATTTATAAATATATTTAGCTAAATAAGATAGATAGATAGGAGAATAGTAAATTAGTAGTAGCTATAACTATAGTAGTAACTTAGGCTATAGCCTTAATATATATTAAAAGTTAGACTTATTAATATATTATACTATTATATTACTTATTTTAGTTTAATCTTATTTATTTATCTAATAAGAAAGTTATTTATTAATTTTACTTTATTAAGGATAAAATATATTAAATTCTACTCTACCTAGAGCTTAAGGCCTATCCTTAATTAAATTAAAATAGACCTTTACCCGAGCTCGTGTTCTATATTATTCTATTAAAATTAGCCTACTTAGAGAGACTTACTAATATATAGAAGTAGTTTAGTAGATTAATATCCTATTTATCTAATATTATAATTAATATAGTAGTATATCTTAGTCTATAATATTAGTGAAAGCTTTTCTAGAACTCTAAATATTTAACTATTAATTAACTATATTATTATACTTAGTATATTACTACTATAAATAGAGATAGTATAATTTAGGGCTATATTAATAAAATACTATAGTAAATTATAAGACCTAATATTAATTAGAATTTATATTATTCGGGATATAAATATAACCATAATATTAAATTCTAGATAGTCTTAATACTAGATAGGCTAATATCTTTATTATATAAACCTATTCTTAGTTACTAAAGTAACTAGGTAATATTCTTAGAGAGTAGCCTAGATAGTATAATAACTAAGTTATTTAATTAAGTAAGTATTCTAGAGTAAGAATATCTATATATATATAGCGACTCCGCGTATATAGGGAGTTCTATAGTAATTAGCTCTTTAAAAAAGCCTTAAGGTAGCTAGTTATTATATTTAGAAAGGGAATTTAATATTATAATATTAAAATACTAGATATTAATTAAGTATATCTTTAGATATATCTAATAATATTAGAGCTATATTTTATATATACTTAGAAACTAGATTAAATATTTACCTATTACTTATAACTATATAGTTTATATCTTAGTTACTAATATAATAACCTACCTTTGTAGTAATATAATAAATAGAAAATTTACTTATAAACTACTAATATTAAAAGAATATCTTACTAATAGTAATAATATTAGTAAAATAATAATATTAGGTAAAATTAGTAAAGCTAGCGATAGTTAGTAAGGAAGATAATATTTAGTATATAACTAATATAATATAGCTAATAGTTATTAGTTATATTTACTATATTAAGTTTAATCTTAGTAATTTATATATATAAATCTAATATTAATTATATATTACTAGTCTTTTAACTAATTATATTATCTTAAAAAACTAACCTCCTTATATAAAAAGTAGTAATATTTTATAATAGCTATAATTTAATAATATATATAAAATATAGAAAAATACACTATTTTTACTATATTAGACCTCTATATCTTTAATATTTAATACCTATCTAGCTACTATTATATAATAATAAAGTTAATATCCTAGAGTAGCTTATTCTTATCCTTAGTACTAATATTATTTAATATATTCTTATCCTTATTATTACTATTACTAATATTATTAATAGCTATAGAAACGCCTAAAGAAGGGAGTAAAGTAGTTATAAGATATTTAAGCTAACTTATAATTAAATTTACCTTTATAAATAGCTAGGTATACTTACTATCTATAGATCTAGAGGCGTAGCTAGTAATAGTATTACTTATTTAATTAAGGGAGGCTACGAGGAGCTTGATATTTATATTTAATATATCTTTAGTCCTACTTTTATTTATAGAATAAGCTAATAACTAAGAAGTATCTCTATAAATAGGAGATTAAGAAGATAAATAAGTAGAAGCTTAAATAGATATTTAAGCTAGTTCTTTAATAAGTATTCTATCTAGTACTAATATTCTATCTAGTACTAGTATTTAAACTAGCGTAGGTATTTAAATACCCTTACCTACTAACGCTAGTCTAAATCTCTTTTTCTTCTATTTATCTATTAGCTTCTAATAAACTTTATTAGCTACGTAGTATTCTTTAAGAGCCTTCTTTATTATTATAGCTACCTCTACTCTTATTCTTTTAATATCTAATATTATATTTATCTACTTATCTAGTACCTACTTAAGCTCTATTATCTAGAATAAAATACTAAATAATATATATTTAGCCTCTATTACTCTTTAGTACTCTCTTGCCTAATATAATAAAGATTAGTAAGGGGTATTAATATCTTAATAGAACTTATTTTAAAAGACTTTTTTTAATTTATTATTATAGGTAGTACTCGTTATATCTTTATAGATATCTAGGTTACTTACTACCTATTTTATTAGGAATAACTTTTCGTTTAGCTAAATTTAAAAATAGATAAGCCTACTACTAGGGCTAGTAGTACTAAAGACTATTTATAAAGCTTATAAAGTAGGTATTTATATATTAGTAATTTAGAAGTTCTCTAATAACTATATATTACTAATTTATAGTTATAAGTCTTCTTTATTAGAAATTTCTAAATTACTACTACCTAAACTAATATTCTACTTATTACTATCCTCTTCCTTAAATAGCGGCTAGCTTTCCTCTATAATAATAGCTTGATTTATATAGTAATAGATAATATTTAATAGAGGAGAGTTAGAATAAAAGTAAGATATATAGACCCCACTATATTCTTAAGGTTCTTTACTAATAGTAGGCTAACTAAATATAGAAATCTAGACTAATATTTTCTTTATTCTACTATAGCACGAAGTAGGCCTCGATTAGTATTAATAGGGTACCTTTACGGCCTTATTATAAAGGTACTAGTAAATACAGTAAAACTACTAAAAATACCACGAAGTAGGGGTATAACTAGAGCCCCTATAAGCTCTTACCTAATTAGGAAATCCAGGTCTGTTTTTCGTTCTTGCTGGCTCAAAATTACGGTTGCAAAATCCCTCTATTGATAGCAGTGAGCCATACCAATTTCTTTGGGTCTTTGGCGCTCCGACTCTGGTAAGGTGAAAACTAGTTCTCGCCAACAGAGGGGTGCGAGCCTATTATTAAGCACTTAGATAACGAATTAGTTAGTTAGAGTTAAGTTAAAAGTTAAACCCGCCTTTGTCTCATTAAAACCAACCTCTTCTTCTTTTGAATGCCCAGCATGGCTAATATCATGAGATGGGCAAGAAGGGCGCTTCGAAAACCTCCCTCACTTCCCATTATTTTTCCCACCGGCGGTTTCGAGACCGTTCCTCCCTCGGTGGTACTTGAAGAAGAACGTTTTGAGCAATTCAAACAGGGACAATATTATCCTGCTAACATCGGCGATGTGCTTACTTCCAGATACCAGGTTATCGGTAAACTTGGTTTTGGGACTACTTCGACTGTATGGCTGGCTCGCGATCTTGAGTAAGTCATTGCATGTCTACTTATCGTAATCCAACACTGACCCACTGAAACAACCAGAGGTCACCGATATGTGACACTCAAAATCTACACTCTTGGCGAAGATAGCCAGGAAGAGTTTCAGATCTATAAGAACCTAAATCAAGGGAGTTCACGGCACCCTGGTCATGCTCATATAAGAAAAGCCCTAGATATCTTCACAATATCCTCTTCACGTGGTAGCCATTCGTGTCTTGTTCAGAACCCGATGTGGGAGAGCTTCAGGGACCTCCTTTATCGAAATCCTAATCATCGATTTACTGAAGATCTCCTCAAATCTGGTCTTATGCAAATATTTCTTGCACTTGACTACTTACACACCGAGTGCAAGCTTGTCCATACGGGTAAGAGTTATCCTCGAGGCTTTGTCAAAATAAGCTATCCTAACCTGCATTCATTTAGACATTAAAAGCGATAACATTCTCCAGGAAATAGAAGACAAGTCCATTCTTGAAAGTTTTACCCAAGCTGAACTGAAGAGCCCTTCACCCCGCAAAATCGTCAATGGTTTGCCAATTTACACGTCACGCCGTTTTGACTTGCCGAAGGTATTTGGCCGAGCGGTTTTAAGTGATTTTGGCTCTGCTGTACGAGGAGATGAGAAAAGGAACCACGATGCACAGCCAAATGTTTATAGGTCGCCGGAAGTCATGCTGAAGACTGATTGGAGCTATCCGGTCGATATATGGAATGTTGGTGCCGTGGTATGCTTTGCCTATTTCTTCCTCTCCCTCATCATCAGTACTAATCACTTTGGAAAAATAGGGGTGGGATTTGTTTGAGGGGAGACATCTTTTCTACGGAAATGACCCTGATGGCAAAGGGTATTCGACCCGGGCACATCTTGCAGAAGTTATGGGTTTTCTAGGGCCACCACCTTTAGATATGCTCCAACGTGGGAAACGAAGCCATGAGTTCTTTACAAGCGATGGTAAGTATTAACTAAGTATTTTCTCGCTCAGTGCACCTAGTGGAAAACTTACGAAGACAACCTTACAGGGAAATGGAAACAGGACCTAGAAATTCCGACGGGGGTCAGTCTAGAGCTGTCGGAAGAGTTTCTCGACGGAAAAAGTAAGGAGATGTTTATAGCTTTCATGAGAGGGATGCTTCAGTGGCGACCTGAAGATAGGAAGACAGCGAAGGAACTACTGCAGGATCCGTGGTTGAATAGCTAACTATTAGTTAATGAGAGAAATTTTGGTTCTTTTCTCTGTCGCTATCCTAGAACCTGCTCCATTAGTTAACTATTTGGTTAACTAGTTAGATCTATATGTTCTGTCATTCTAAAAGTAGGAAAATATTAATCCCAACAGAACTACAATTGAGGACCCCAATTGACTTCAAAAAAGGTGCTTACATTGATCAAGGTTTGAACACAAAGGCCCTGCAAAAGGTACAGTCCATGGATATTTTTGAATTGGAGTATCGACTGCCAATGTTGTAAGAAGTTGGCTAGTTAACTTAGTGAGTAATGGCCCCTGAGAAGATTTGGGCACCTCCCATCTTTGTCCTTGCGTCAAGGGGAAAAAGCTTTGATATCAGCTCGGAGGTCAATTAGAAATAGACGGGGAATCCACATCACTAGCTTTATTGCCGTCACATTCCAGTTAACCGGGATGAGCCCGTTTGGAGATCATCCCCACAACTCCTAATCCCCCTTACATAGTTACAGGACGTTCCAGTACAGCTTCTCAGTCTTTAAAATATATTGAGTTAGGCATTCTCACTTTCGCCTATGCAAGCGCTCATGCTCAGAGAGGATCAAGCACGCGAAAGTTAAGAGCCTCACTGCCACCCAAACCCGGAAAGCGGGCACCCGGATATTAGTTATGTGAATGTTACAAAGGTTGGAACCTCCGAAACGAGGCGCCGAACGATTGACATTGCATATTTCTAGGCTGTTTCGCTAGTTATTATGTAGCATGCATGAGTGGGCTGGTCTTGACACGCCATCTGCAGAATACGAGGCTGTCTTCTGTTGACACTTCTGAAGACAGCTCTCTCAGAGTCAAGAGGAAGCTCGTTAGCCGTTGACAGCTTATTGGTTAGTTGGATGAGATTGAGGAAACACTCGGCGGGAGGGGCCCCAATCCTACGCTTGGCTTTTCAGGTAATAATTAATTGACAAGTCAACCCATTCCCCTCGTTGAACATCCCCATCGAAAATCCTTGCGGAGATTCACTGGCAACTTGACCGGAAATGCCGCGTGTTATTACCATCATTGGTGCCACAGGCAACCAAGGCGGCTCTGCTGCTCGTTCACTGCTTCAGAATCCATATTTCAAGATACGCACCGTTACTAGGAATCCTTCCTCAGATGCTAGTAAGGCATTGGCCTCAGCAGGAGCTGAAGTAGTACAGGGAAATGGGTTTAATCATGAGGAAATGCTCCGCGCATTCGAGGGCGCCTGGGGACTATATCTCAATCTAAACTCAGATGACGAGATATGGAGCAATCCTAACGGACCTACTGAATTCGACCTTGGTAAATCGATCATCGACGCTGCAGTTCAAGCGGGTGTGCCACATCTGGTTTACAGCTCTGGCCCACCATGTGTCGAAATGACGGATGGCGTCGTCAGGATGAAGGCTATGGAGAGTAAGTAGAAAGAAAACCTTCAATCCTCCCCACTGTTTATCAATTAACTAGTCGGTTGGTTAGCTAACGAAATCTCGCAGTGAAGTACAAGACGGAACAATATGCAAAGGAGAGCGGGAAGTTCCAGACTGTTACACCCATTAACGCTGCATGGTACCTCGAAAACTTCCTTGCGAAAGAGATCGCTCCTGCATTTGGTGGCTTCCCTTTTTTCCCTGACGATGAAGGATATCTTAGTTATAAGGTTCCTCACTGGGGTGGAGATAATAGGGTACCGTACCTAAGCATTACAGATGACTACGGAGACATTGTCCATGGAGTCTTTTTAGACCCTACTCGATGGAAGGGCCAGGTTATTCAGGCCATGAGCGATATGATCACCTTTGATGAGCTGGCGGCTAACTTTGAAGAAAGTAAGCAATTAGACATCTTGCTGTTATTTTTTTTTCTCCCCATATGTGAAACGAGGGCTAACCAGCCACAGTCACTGGGAAAAAGTCTAGGTTCCAGCCTGTTCTCCCCTCGTGGGAGGCATATGACACTCACGGAGTGCCAGAATTGGAGGACGTCAAGCTCATGTTTGGCTTTACCCAGATCACGGGAGGGCGCTATTTTGGCCCTGAGCCGTCTGATATAAAGGTATCCAAAGAATTGAAACGTGCAACCGCCAAAGCTTTAGGCAAGCCAGAAGACGAAGGGACCCTGAAGCCTTCAAAGGAATGGTTTCGGTCACGATTTTCTTGATCAAGAGGAAAAAGAAAAGAATATATAGGCCAGACACGTTAGTGATTGTGTGTGCCTTCCTAGAAATTGCGTTGGTTATGTATCTAGAATCGTTAAAGCACTGGTATAATAAGAAATAAACAAATAAAGCATGACCATACGATCGAAGGCCTAGGCATAACGTAGTTAACCGAAAAGTTAGTGGCGCATAATCGCAGCTCGAAGCCATACACCCTAGGTTAGGTGGCTATGGACCATGATCGACCCCATACCAAAGCTGGGAGTAATTAGAGTGGAAGTCGATAAACAGTCAATATATGGCGTTTGAGCGGTGATGATCTAGCCTTGTAGATTCAACGAACAATCTTCACAAGATCTGCTGAGCCGTATCCTCAGCTCCACGGCCCTTCCTTATCTCAGATCCTGCGGCCAAATATATATATATATATATGCCGCAGGGTTGGGCTCCACTATGCGAGAAATAGCGCGATGCAGAGGCACCTACTTTGCGGATGGTGGATCTATAGTGTGACCAAGTGAGAGAACCAGGCACTCTGCGTCTCGATCTATGAAAAATCGAGGTTGAATCCAATATATCTGGCTTGGCCGTGCTTGAAGAAATGGTTGTATATCGGAAATATCGCAGAAATAACACAACATATCAAGCTAGGGGAAGAAATTCTAGAGGGACAGGTCAACATATCGGTACCGCTCATATAGAAACAGACGATGACTCCGTTTCTGGCTGGGGTGCAAGATAAATGTCAAAGATGAAGGCATGCATGATATCCCCTAGTTATCTGCACAAGTTGAAGTTGAGAACGTGAAGTTGGAAACGAAAGACGCTCGTTGGTTAGGCCGGCGGGCCGTGCCTCATCACGTGATTTAGTCGCCGCCCGCCCGGACAGGGCCGAGCTCGTCGTCACTGCATCTCCCTTCCAACGACAGCCGACTCAGTCGCCTTGAGTCCCTAGGCAAGGTACTTATCCTGGGGGCTCGCGCGACCTTAGATCTCGAGAACTTCTTGAAGCCCCTTTGTTTTGCAACTAATTAACCATTAGCCAGTTAACTAGTTAGTTAGTTTCTTGTGCCAGCCCGGCAATCCGGCATCGTCTAGGACTAACCTTCGATTTCAGGAGACACAGTCAGAGTATTACGAGATGAATCCCCTTGGAGAACACCCTCTGGCCGAGGGTCCAACTGTATCAGACCGATTGGCATTCATCCCTTCAGTTTTCTGATGCCGGACATTCCCTGTGCCTGCAAAAAAATTGGGCCGAAAAGCCTCCACTAGCAGCCGAATCAACTATGTCGTCATAACATGCCGCGCTACATAACGTAGCCATCCAAGTTTCAGGGTAACCAACCATATTACATATAGGGCGTTGGAGGGGCATCTAGTAAACAAGTCGCCGTGCAACGCCTATCATCCCGCACCCGCACAGCTATGCTGACAACTGGATCACTACCACATCCCGATAACGTGTAGTGACTTGACGCAGCTAAAGATGACCCTCATAAGCAGCGTTGGCCGCTCCCTGGCACATATCTACTCCCAATGCTTCATTATCTGCTATACCTTGATCCAGGACATCCTGGTATACGTCTTTGCTACCAATGCTCCTCCGCCGTCCAGTCGTAACAAACGATTACGCCGTCCTCGAGTCGCCATTATCGGGTCCGGACTGACTGGCGTTTCAGCTGCGGCTCATTGTGTTGGCCATGGGTTCGATGTGAAAATATTCGAGGCTCGGCCCAAAGACAAAGGCCTAGGCGGCATTTGGAGCGTATGTGTTCCCCAATATCTTTCGAAGCAAGTAAATATTAACTGTGCAAGTAGAGAGTGAACTCTACGTCTTCTCTGCAAATTCATAGTATCATGTTCAGATTCCATCCTTCAGTCAAGTGGAAAGATGCGTACCCGAATCAGCAGCAGATTAAAGACCAGATAGTCGAGCTTTGGAAGACTTACCACCTCGATGACAAGACCGTATTTGACACCCCTGTTAAATCGACCAGGAAGAACGACCAAGGAAGATGGGTTATCAACGATGACGAAGATACCCATGGCACCTTTGACGGTATTGTCGCTGCTGTCGGGAGCTGTGGTGATCCAAAAATGCCCACCCTTCCGCACCAAGATAAGTTTACCGGACAAGTGTACCATTCATCCGAGCTGGATGGGTTAGATGCCAAAGGAAAGCGTATCGTTGTTGTCGGTGGAGGCGCTAGTGCTGTCGAAGCCTTGGAATTTGCCGTTAATGCCGGTGCCGCAAACATAGATGTCCTATCACGGTCGGATAAATGGATTATACCGCGGAACGTGGTCGTTGACGTCCTCCTTGCCTGCAACATTTTCGGCCAGGAGACCATTCTATCCTTCATTCCAGAAACTCTGTTGCGCAAGCTCTTTTATCGCGACTTGGAAGACATAGCCCCGTCTGGCAAGGGATTGTTTACCGACACGCCAATGGTGAACTCAGATCTTTTTGAACTGATACGTGCAGGTAAAGCTCGCTGGTTACGCGGAGATATCCTCTCTGTCGAAGAGGACGGCATCTCCTTTAACCACCGGGCTCAAGGTGTTCCTAAATCCGGACCAGGCCACGAAATATTCGTCAAAGCAGACATTATTATAATGGCAACGGGGTTTATACGGCCCTCCCTCTCCTTCCTTCCCCAAGAAGTATTCGAACCCCCTTATGATCCACCAAATTGGTACCTCCAGATCTTCCCTCCGGCATACCCTAGCATCTGCACAAATAATAGCACCTTTGTCAATGCCATTGGCACGGTAGGGAATTACCACATCGGAATCTACACTCGGCTTCTGCTCATGTTTTTGATTGACCCGCTGAGCCGCCCGCGCGAATACTTGATGAAAAGATGGGTTGACATGACGCGAATAATGAAAAGATTCGCTCCAACCGGCGCCTTCGATTTCTTTACTTATGCTGAGTTGCTGTACTGGTTTGTTTTTGTCATGGTTTTCAACCCTTTCCGCTGGAAGTGGGCTGCTTTTGTGTTCTTTGGGCTAGGAAGGGTGCTCCCAATGGCTGTTGTGGACAAGGAAGATGATGCGAGGGAACTTTTAGGGGCTGATTCGCGGTCATCCGTTAGTGGCAACTAGTCTGCAGGCTGTCTTGCGTGTATATATTGTTGCATGCCTTTACATAAAATAGTAGATAGACTTGAATTAGCTCTGATTTGTCTGGCTGATATTTATGTATATACATGCATTCCAATAAACTCTCAACAGGTAACATCATTCATCATTAGCTCAATTTTGCTTTGCCTTATGAAGCGTACTGTCAAACCTGGTAACCTGAAGTATACCCTTCTCCTCTGCCCATGCAATCGGCCAAAAGACGTAGGAAGCCAGCACGCAAAATAGAGTAGCAAACGCATGCCAAAATAGAACAAACGCCTCCCCAATCCCATATGGTATGACAAATTTCACATACTCGTTTGTTTGGTATAAGTCATTCTGCGAAGCGATGTAATACAGCGGCTTCGTAGAACTGCACGGCTCAACTGTAGTGCTAGCGTATTCCTCTGCCGGGATTGACGTAGAGGAAGCCAGAAGGTCCGTATTCGAGTTGGTAAGCTCAACAACCGGTACTTTGTGACGGTGCTGGGCTGGGCTATCTTGTTCTACTCCCTTGACGAGCTGCAGCACCGTAGTAAGAGTAACCGGTGCGGTGTAGAAAGGGACAATGAATATGCGGAAGACTTGGGACACGGTGACGTATAAAAGCAAGTTATCGCGGTCAAACGCTATAATGCATGTTAGATATGGAGCGACTTTCCGTGCATGTACGACAAGGGCGTTTGTGGTAGTGTACTGACCTACTGATTTCACTTGCAGATCAACATGCGGCGACATGATTTTATAGAAAAGAAATATCCGACTAATCAGCCATCGGCTGCCTTGGAATGAACCAGAATGTAGGAATGGATGCGTAATTGAGGCAGAGGGCGTGAAGTATTTTTCAACTGTCTGTTGCTGCACTGAGGGGATAGACTGGGTGAGCAGATGGATCACCTGCGGGATCTCTTCAACTATAATTAATCCCAGTTAGATAGGGAAAGTCGGTGCCAGACCAGTTAAGAGATACGTACCTGGGTTTTCCATCTTGTCTGAAAGGCCAATGGCTTGTCTGTCTGTCTGTCCGTCCGTTGTTTACTCCGGGCTTCCTTCCTCTCAGCCAACTTTTATGTTAAGTTTCACTTGACAGCTATGACGTCACCAGCCAAACTCCCGCTTAGTCAGATAGCTATCAAAAAGGTAGAGAAGTCAATGGCCATGACTGGGTTGTATATCACAATTGAATTTTTATGTGTAAGTATTAAGACAACATAGATGAAAACTATCGTTTCCAGCTAGCAATTGTCTTCCGTCTCTTTTCGAATCTCTCACCAATATTAAATCCATCGCTTCTCGGACCATCCTCAGTAGCTCTCTTCCGGCTTCTCTGTAGCGCACTACCAGCTCCATCCTTTTTCCTCTGCGTCAGTCGATGGATACGATCAACTCCTTCGCCAAGACCCTGCCATTCCTCTCCACCATAGCCTCCACGGCGATTCCCTCCCCTCTTCGCTCGATCCTTTTTACTTTCCTTAGGAAGTCGAATCAAATTGGTTTCTTCGTAGGCTCTGCGCTCCTCTTCCCTAGCCCTATCCTGCTGTGTGCTAACATGTCGCCCGCCTGCACGGATGGTGCTGCCTATACTAGGCTCGACCATGGGGGCAGTCGACATCTCCGCATTGACGAATTCGTCGATGGCTTTGGATTTCTTAGATCGTTGGGCTTCACGTTCTGCACGCCGGCTGGGTTTGTTCTCGACTAGAGCTGTAGGTTTGATTTTTGGAGGTCGGTAGATTCCGTCACCAATAGCATCATTCTTCTGCGCCGCAGCTTTTTGTTTCTGTTCCTGGGCTTCTGCTGCACGGGAGAAGGCAGCTACATTTGGTCGATACGTCAATTCGTCAATATCCTCTTCATCGTCGCCATAATCGTCATCATCACTGCCGCTGCCGCTATTACTCTCGTCACTCTCATCCTTATCCGCTGTATCAACATCAGACCCGGCGCTCTTTGAAGACCGCCGGCGTTCAGCCCTTTCGCCGGTTTGCGCCTTGGTTCGTTCAAGATCATCTGCGGCCTTTAGAACTTTGTCGATCTGGTATTTGAGTCGTCCTTCGAGAGGCCGCACGCCACGTTCAAGGTATACACGAAGTTCTGTCAATTTCTTCACCACATCATCTTGGCTTGGTTCCGTACTCCGCCGGGAGCTGTCTGTGGTCGAAGAAGAGAGCTGTCTAACTTGTAGAAGGACAAGGTATACCAAGTTCTGTAGGTAGGATAGAAGGATCTCGCTTTTGGTGTCGAGCAGCGAGATACCATCGGCTGGAGGTATGATGGAGGCTCGTGTGTTGTCTTCGGACGGATCGAGAGCAGGCAGAGATGATGCAGCGCTCGACAAGGACTGTTGGAGTGACTCAAGCATAGTTTTTATAGGCACCTGGCCTATTTCCTTTTCGTCAACGGCCATTGCGACTCGTCTGGTTAATCTTCCGTTGGTTGACTTTCAAAATCATCGTCGTTTTCCCATAACTTTGGCGAAATTTTTAGAGTTTTAATTATTAATCGTTGTCTTTGCTTAGTAACATTCAATGATCTTCTCCACGTGACTATAACAAAGTTGTTACGTAATATAGCTAAGAAACTTCATACTGGAGTTTGAACCTTAAATATACGCTTAACTCCTTTAGGTTAACATATAAAAGTTTGTTGCGGAGGCTCAGCAGTCGGACGAGCGAGAGGAGAGGACGACAATGTTATTTGATAAGAAAAAGGGGGCTTATGATGTAGGTATGAACCAGTCCGCTACCCACTGCCAATTGGTATAAACTCGCTAATCCCCCGCCAGATACCCTACGCCATACATCGTAACAAGAAGAAAGCAACAAACGTCAGATTTGGAAGACGGTAGATCGAATCGAAGCATATTGTCGCGTTAAGTCAGAAACGGCATTAAAATAGTAGAAAGTAAGTAGAAATGGGAGAAAGAAAAAGAAGAGAAACGGTGAGAGACCGTCTAGGCAGAGTGTTTCTCCGGATGGCCGGTAGGAAGCACGTCTGCGATGGTCTCGTCAGAACATTTGAGATCCTCTTCGATGTCGACATGGTCCTTGATTCTGAGGACCAGCGGAGCAGCAACGACGAGAGAACCGGCTAGAAGGGCCCAATTGCTGGCGAAGATGGACATGAAGGCTATCTTCTTGAGGTCGATGGCCCAGGAGACGGCAGCACCAGCGGATTGGATACCCTTGTAGAAGCCGACGTAGTTTGCAGTCTTGCGGCCAGAGTTAGACAAAGCGCCCATGTACCTACAGGAGTTAGTTGGAAAGGTCACGAGAAAAATAAATAAGATGGAAGATGATTAAGGCCTACCAGTAAGCGGACGCTTGGAAAGCAGCGTCGTAGAAACCATAGAACATGAACAAGAACATAGGGCCGATGTAACCGTTGTCACCCCAATCCTTGCCCTTGTAACCAGCCTCAGGATCGACAGACTCGCGTGTGTATCCCTTGGCAAAGGCATAGCCACCACCCCAGATTGCCATAGTGAGTGCGAACATGACAGCAAGGTTGATGCGGGCTCTAAGCGAGCGGCTGATAGCTGTGGAATCAAGACAGACGCCGAAGATGCCTGCGCCGATGATCTGTGAGGTCCAGTAGAGGACTGAGTTGAGGGCCTTGGTGCGGGTGGTGAAGTATGCGCCGTTGATGGCATTGAACTGGTATGCGGTGAACCAGTTGGAGGACCAGAAAAGTGGGAACAGCAGGACGATGTACGGTTCGCTGCGAATGGTTTCCCACAGGCCGATGAACTCTGTCTTAAAGGTAGGGTTCTTCATGATGACGACTCGGCTGCCATCGCGGCGGTAGATGTCACCTGCATTGCAGAGGAGCAGGGCGAGCACAGCTCCGGTGGCCATAAGGACAATAAAGGCGATATAAGTGCCGTTTGTAACGTTGACATTTCCCTTGACGTTGATATTTTCTCCTAGGGGTATCTATATAAGTCGGTATGGGTTAGCACATTGTATAGATGCATACAGACGTGTGTGTTTTAGCAAAGGGACGGAGAAACTGACCAAGGAGCCAATGACACCGCCGAGGTTGAAGATGGCCCAGAAGACGGCAAAGGAGCGTCCCTTGGTGGACTCAGCTGGGTAGGAGAGCATGATGGTGCCCTGTGCGGTCCAGAGGAGGCCGGCACAAAGACCGAGAAAGGCACCAGCAAAGACGTTGAACCCTGCTACGTGTGTCGAGTGGACAGAGACGAGCAGCGAGATGGCATAGAGACAGTATCCGATGCCTCCAAAGGCGAGGGTCAGGCGCACCCCGAGACGGTTGACGAACGAGCCGCCGAAGAAGCCGAACACAGCAAAGCAGCTGTACAGCGCGATGTTCTAGCGGTAGAGTTAGAATATTCTTTGCATACACGGTATGAAGAAAAGAATTGGGAGTTGTGTGTAAGAGAGAAGCTTGTTCGTACCATGTTATCAGCGGTCGTCTTGTCGGTCTTGCCGCCGCCGCCCAAGCTGGTGAGGGCGTTGAACATGCCCGGACACATGAAGCAGACAAAGGAGACGAGGACGAGCTGGAAGCTGGGCGACGCATACCAGGAGAGGCCGATGCCCGCGATCTTGAGCTCCTTGTACCTCCATCCCTTGGGCCTGGCGAGGTCAGCGAGCTGCTGCTGGTCGTGGTGGTCGTGATCGTCGCTGTCGCTGACCCGGACGGCGGGCGCAGAGTCGGGTTTCTCGTCAGCCATGGCTCAGGCTGCAGAACGCGGTGCTCGAGGATGTCCCTGGATCGGATCAGACTCGAGGAGGAGGAGGAAGAAGAAGAGGAAGAGGAAGAAGAAGAGGAAGAGGATGCGAGGACGCAGTTGTATATTTTATAGCAGGCAAAGAGGAAAAAGGCGAGGATGCTGACAAAGCGGCGAGAGGTCGATGCGACTTTTCTTTATCTCCAACACAGCCGGTGCAGCTGCTGCTCTTATTATTATTATTATCACTTGCTGCTGCTGCTGGCGGCGGTGCTACTGCGATCCGTGTCTTTATGCTACGAAGGCAGAGAGACAGACAGAGAGAGAGAGAGAAGGCTTGAGAAATCCCCGAGACACGCGAGCTTTTTGCTTTTTCTTCTTTTCTTTTTCGATGTTTGGTTACATTCTCCCAGTTTGATGCGACGCTCGCTCGACGGTGATGGTGAAGATACCACACTGTGAGTTTGCCAGAGATGGAGGCAACTAGGGGATAGACAGAGGCAGAGGCAGAGGCAGAGTGAGACAGAGGCAGACGGGGAGAGAGAGGCCTGCTATTATAATATCTACTCTACGGTGGTGAGACGGCAGGTAAAGGGCGACGAGATACTAGATAACTTCTGGCTAACCAACTCCTTAGTTAACTAAATAAACCAGGGCGACTGCAGGCGTACGGCGTAACCTGGGACAGACAACCTGCGCGACTCTGGGCCATGGTAGCTGTCTCTGCTCTCTGCTTGTCCTGTTTATAGGACGGGAGTTTGCCGGCCGCAGAAAGGACGGAGAAAGAGATGCCACGACGGTGACAGGTAGCATCAACGGCCAGCTTAGACACGCGCTGCCGCTGCAGTTGCATCTTCTTCTATTCTTGCGCAGTTAAGACCAGCTGCAGACGGCCCGAGCTGCTGAAACATCGGCCAGCCAGTAGAGCCAGTTGTGTTAGTTTATCCCACCTGGCCAGCCTCCTCCTCCCTGCCTCTCACACGACCTCTCCCCGTGGGGTTACATAGCATCAGCGTTTATTGCATGGCCACTCGCCTTTTCGTATCGCTGGTTAGTCAACAAGTTTAACTTACTCATTACTCCACGCCGTTGGGGGAGAGGGTGATATAAAACTATCGACAGAGAGAGACTTTTACTACCATAGCATTTGTCTAGTTACTAACTAGTTAACTGCTGCTGCTGCTCCCTACAGAGGATAGTTATCTTGTGATGCAAAGAAGCGAGTTGGTTACCATCCCACTAGTTAAACTACGCCTGGCTTCTGCTCGGCGTTCCCGGCATGGCAACCAAAGCGTCAGGCATGTGTGCGTACCGTCGTCGTTGCAAAGGTCTTTCTCGTAACGAATAATATGTTGGATTGTAACTAACTACCTAGCGTCTATAACATAGATGGTAGTCCGGCAGCTAACAAAATATCTCGAGAAATATCCAATATGCATCCCGGAAGAGGTAGTTATTGAAAACTAGGGGAGAGCAAGGCAAAAAAAGAATAGATGGTCCCAAGATTAACCAGCAGATGACGCTTCCAAATCCTTTCTAGGCAGATTTTCCAGCTGGTGAAGTGGCTGCGGGAGTGAGCTAAGTCCCAATCCCCTGCACTAGTTACTCGCACACGTCAGTAAGCAAAAAGAATAGAGCGAAGAATGACAAGCCGATAAAGCGCAATGCATACCCATAGTTAGCCAGGTCAGTAAGGTGTTCCGATTGGTGTTTGGATCAAGAATAGAAGATGTGGCTGGTCCTATTTTTGCCGTCGATGAGCAGAGTGGTGTATCTGACCTGGTATCGTTCCCTAAGCCTACAGTACCCTTCCCCGTCCACCATGCAGTACTGTACAGTCTCCAGCTTGTCCGCGGGGTGGATGAGGTTATCCGGAACTGTCTGGGCGGACCGCACCTTGGGCGCTTCAGACAGGCCGGCACGATCTTGGATCTTCTCAGGAGAGTTAAGCAATCCCCTCAGCAGTATGGGCTCCAGCCACGGCTGCTCAGGCTGTGGTCCTCTCCTTCTCGCCTCCTCCCACTGCTCCGGCTTGTATCGGTCCGGCTTCTCTGCCTTTAGTCGAGTGATTTCCCGTCTCCATTGCGCGCTGTTGACGGGGTATTCGACCGGATCCAGGTCCATGATAGGTATGTAGGTAGGTAGTTAAGGGATAGACTTGACGGGTGAGAGCTGTTTGAGAATTCGGCAACTTCTGTCAGTCTGTCTGGCCTAGCACAGGTGTATAGCGATAGTGAAAGCGCTGCTGTTCTTTTTGTCTGTGGTTTATTTAGAAGAATATAGCAAATAACTAATCAGCCAGCAAGCAGCAGAAGAGTGCGGACTGTCCCCTTGCTTTTAGTAGTTGTAAGTCTTTGAGTAAGTCAAAGATGACATCACTGACTAACTGGCTAAGTTAACTACCTATGAGGAGCTGTCAATCATGTGACTGCTCTGTCTCCACTGCCCTGTAGTTTGCTTTCTTCAAAAGAGGCAAACTATTTACATTTGTCTGGGTAGATGGTTTGTAGATGGTTTGCAGCCGGCTTTGCCTGATCTACTTGCCAATAAAGAACATAACTATCATCCTTTCAACCGGAGGCCTGCAGCCTCTTGGTTCCTAGCAAACACTCTACCCTCTATAGAACTATCTAGATTACCTGATTCCTTAGAAGCATTCATAGTTATTCCATTTGATTTGTCCACGGCTATTTACATAGAGTGAAAGCACATGTATGGAAGCTTTGATAACAGTCTGTGAGCATCCATTAGCTATCTACACAGTATGAAAACATTTGTATAGAAGCTTTGATAATGGCATGTGAATATCCGTGGCTATTCACATAGAGTGAAAACACATACATGCATAACACAACATTCTTTGTTCCTTCTCCTTACCCTGTCTCCTTGTACCGACCTGGATAAGTAGATAGCATATTTGAAGATATGATCCCAATAGATATAAGAAGTCACCTCTTACCTGGTCACTATAGCTTCCAACCACTTCTCTCTAAGTCACTACTTTGGAAACTTCACTGTCATCGACTTATTCCTCCATAGCACCGTATCCCAAGCCTGAATCTTCTTACCCTCTTCTTTTACTCTTCCCTTAAGTCTCGAAATATTTCCTTCACCCGCATCTATATCTTTCTTATTACGTGTCGAAAACATGGCCTCGTTTGGGGTCGAGATAGAACTCCTCATCAAGCCCAAAACCCCACATGCTAGGAGTAGCTGCCCAGCATGGCTATGCCGTGGGGAATATCCCAAGGATCAACCTGCTTGCATTACACTAAACACTTGTTGAGCAGTGCTTGTTTTGGAGGTTGCCAGTTGAGCTATACATCGAGGGCAGTGATTACAAGGAAAGATGGCAGGTGGCTGCCGATGCCTCAACCATGGCCATAAATGGTTTTTGTGAGTGCTTTGGTTACTTTCCTCTCTCTATCAAGACACCCTAAATTCTGACCGTGGGTATCATTAGTTGGTGTGGAAATAATCACCAGCATACTCTACACTGATAGACCGTGGGAGAATCAGTTAAACCTTTTCTGGTACACGTTGACGGACAGCTTCGAAGTCCGGGGTGACCCGTCCTGCGGAACCCACATACATTTCTCACCTGTAGGGGGGTTCACTTTAGCCCAACTAAAAAAGCTCACTGCATTCGTCACGATATTTCAGCCCGCTATCACGGCGTTGATACCATCCGGCAGGCGTGGCACGGATTGGTGCCACGCGAATGCTGAAGTTGCCGAAGGCCTCAGGGCCAAATATATGGCTGGGCGGCCAGTTCTCCTGGCCTGGATCGAAGGATTTTCCGACAAATCCGAATTGTGGGAGAACATTTCTCCCAACAAGACTGTGGCTTGGAACTTCCGAAACGCGCGCGAAGGTGGATGTGGCACAGTGGAATTCCGGCAGCCACCCGGTGTCGTAAGCAACGCGGCTACTAAAAGATGGGTGGCCATTGCGCTAGCCCTATTCGCCGCGGGGATCGAACCGTGGCTGGCGTACCCCGTTGCTGCTCCGACAGTGGAGGACTTGAAGATTGTTCTGGAGCATAGCGCCTCCCGGATAGGGGTATCACACCTGCTATCATTCGACGGGGAGAGCGAACAGACGATCCCGATTAATACGTTGAGTGCAGAGGAGAGAGAGTACATCACTCTCCTAAAGGCTCAGAAGCCAAGTATTTTCGCTGAAAATCTGGAGCGGCGTGGAGGACGCGGGTCCTCCCCATGATAAGCGGGCGTGGAAACTCAATGGCCGTTGAGAGCAGGAAATACTTTGAAAGAGGCAAAGTAGCCTATTTTATCCATTTAATAAAACACAAGGTCAAAAAAAAGGAGTTAGATGTTAGCGCTAGAGAATTTCATACCATTACTTTGCATGTAGAGAGTTAAATATACCTGAATATGCATACCTACCATATTTAAAGATAGTCTTCTTCACAAAAGTCGTCAAATATCCAGTGCTCTCTTGTCCTCACTCTCTCCTCTTCGGATTCAGCGGCGTCCAGAGCATCGGCCTTGAGCTTTACCTCACGCTGTTTCACTTCTTCATAAAACTCAAGGGGGACCCAGCCTTCGGTGCCTACTCCAATAGCTTCCCTACAAGCCTCTAACTGTTCATCGGCTTCTACCTGGGCTTTGTCCAGCTGGATACACGCAGCAGCCTCGTGCTCCGAAAAAATGAGTGGACAGGGTACTTCCGAACCGGAGCTGCTAGTAAGCTGTTGCCATTTCTCTGTTAATGAGATCAGGTCAGCTTTCAGAGTCACATTATCGCCGTCCCAGGGTTCACTGGCGTGGTAGAAAAGCTTGCGCCTTAAAGTATTCAGCCCGTTCATCAGAGCATTGAAGTGTTCTGGATTTATCTTGGCGGTTTCTCGAAGGTAGATGTAGTGCAGCTGGCGCTTGCGTAGGAGTTCTACTTCCGCAAACTGTTTCATTTCATCGAGCTGGTCAAAGTTGGTTGGCAGGGTGGGCAGCTGCATTGATTCCGATATCTCGTCGCCATAGTTCTGGAAGCTGTTTGGAATAGCGGAGTGAAGGAATAGTGGAAGTATGGCAGAGTGCTGCCAGTCAATCAAGCCGGTAATTTCAAGCTGGTCAGTGACGAATATATTGTTGGGTTGGAGATCTGGGTGCCGCATGACTGGGCGGGCCAGTGCCGGGTCATGGTGTGGTATTAGATGAGGTGCAATTTGCAGATACTGTCTCAAATTCACCAAGTGATCCAGGTGCGAACGGGGTTTGTAGTCGTATATCTCCCGCCGAAGACGCTGGAAAGGTAGGATAGGTTGTCCATACTTGGTCAGATATGAGATCTCCTTCTCAGCGCCCGCCGTCAGAGCAGCTAAACAATCCTTGTCTGGTAAATTTGTTAATGGCTGGCTATAGCTAAGCAGACTGCGGATAATGACAATTGTGATAACACTGGAACTTACATGGACCGCGCTCAACCGGCAATGCGAGTCGTTTGCCGAACCATAATCCGAGTGTAGTATCGGGCCCGATGCAAAAATTATTCTCGCCGGACAAATGGTCAGCGGTGGGAACGGTGATTCTGGCGGTTTCACCCTGAAGATCACCACAATGGTAAAGACTTCCACTCGCTGGAAACCGCAGAGCAAAGATTCGGGCCTCCAACTCCACAATTCTAGAAACAACGGTGATCCTCTGTCTTTCTGACAGGTCAAACCAGATATCTCCTAGGTTCCTACCGCGGATAAGTTCCATGAAGATGTACTCCGTGCCCGCCGGGTTGGTTGACACTGTCGAGTAACCATAGACTTTTGGAACGGGTATACCATGGGAGCGAAGAAAATCCATAGTGGCTACTTCACTGGCAACGAGGAGGTCTTTTGGTGCTGTCGACGGATAAGGGATGCGGGCAACCAACTGAAAGCCATCGCGCATGGTTACGAGGAAGGATCGGTTAAAGCCTCCTTCGCAAGTTTCTCGAATTTGGCAACATCTTCTGTTCGCTGGTGTATGGACGCTGCAGCGAGCCGTTTAAGCTCCGATATGTCGAAGCAGCGCCGTCTCTCGGAGTGTCTCAGGGCATCATTGTAGCTTGAAAGCAGGCAGATAATTAGTCTCTTACACTTGGTGACCAGAGGTAATGGAAGGCTATCTCAACAGACATCCATCTCCCCGACGTATAGTCGAATAAATCATGGGTCTCATCGGGTATGCTTCTAATCATCGAGCAGTGGATGAAAATCTTCGGCAGTAATGGTGGTGATACCGAAGCTTGAAATGGTGGGTAGGGAAACAATAGCGGTTTCCTGGGTATTCCGCGGGCCAGGGGCCGACAAAACTCCATAATTTTGAGCACAACGACGAGCCGTGAAATGTTGAGTGTTCCCGGTCTTGAAGGGCCTCAATTCAAGGGGACAGTTTATGATACAGCCAACCCAAGGATGGGCACCGGGGGCCGGCGATGTGTGTGGAGTACGCAGTATCCGGCACCCCAAGGCAGCAGACAAGGTATTACTCCGGTAAAGCGCTGCCCAGTGAGCAATGCCAAACGATCAAGGGGAGGTATATCTTTGCTACCAGTAACCACTGGATAGTGATGATGATGGTGGTGATGATGATTGCAGTCGAGTCTCTCCTAGGTCAGCCGGATCTGCAGCCGGGCTGTGATTGGCTGGACAGGCCGATCATCAAGGTTTCGGAGTATCTTTTGTCCACGAGGGTTTGGCGAGATTATGTAATTCGCATTACATAAGTAATTTGCCAAAAAAAAAAAAAAAAAAAACCAACACAAAAAACAAGTTTTCCCACCTGGAAAAAATAAAAAAAAAGAAAAAGAAAAGAAAAAAGAAAAGAAACCAACATCAAGTCCTCGGAGTCAACCTGCTGGAACCGCCGGAGAGAGCGAGGGAGAGAGCGAGGGAGAGAGAAGAGAGGGCGCGCCAAAACGACTGTTCGAAGAAAAGGAGGAAAAAAAAAGACGGGGGGAAGGGGGAGGGGCGCGTTGGGTCAGTTTAATTTCAACAGTCCACCAGCAATAACAAGAGAGTGGCGAACTCGACCCGCGCAACCGTCTCTGACCGACAAAACAAGGCTCATTAAAAAGCGATTTATTATTTTTATGATATATGGAGCCAGCAGCATGAGTGAGCGGGTTCGACGTCTGCACGCGCGCTTTTATTCCTTTTTTTTTGGATGGCTGTCAAGAGAGAGAGCTTCTAACTCGGTCTGGTAAGGAGCTCGCAGTCGTACATATGTAGAGGTAAATGCACGGAGGTGTGAGCGAGCTCCAACCGATCGGCCATGGAGAGGAAGCACGATCCGAACACGTCGGACGGACCAGACCAGACCAGACCAGACCGGGATAGGAACTGAGAGCGGGATAATAATATTATTGCTGGACGGAGTATGCTCTGTTAAAGCGCTGTATATGCGCAATGGTGGCACTGGTGCTGTTGTCGATGCAGCTTGCTTTTTCCCAACAAGGGAGAGAAAAAAAGAGATACGGAGTTTCCCTTCGTGGTTACCTGGGAGATGGCTATGACGATGTTATGGCAGCGATAAAATTGACAGCAAGGGGGGATGGACTTTGAGAATTGCCGTCATCCGAGAGCTTCACCGACGGAGATCTCCTGCGTCCCATCTTTTGGAAACCCCATCTTCTGGAACCCAGCAACGGCCGTTTCAAGTATATGATGATGATGGAAGAAAAGCGAGAGGCGAGGAAGGGGGGGGCCCGAGGGAGAAAAGGAAGAGCCTGGAGAAGTGGCTGGTGAGGACGTAACAAAACTCTGGTGTCGGGATGACTTCATCGCCTTCAGCCATCAGCCATCAGCCATCAGCCACCTGGTCCCTGTCCTGGCTAGTGATGGTGTTAGTGGGAAGCCCTGCTGTAAGTAAGTCCTTAAGCTTTGGTCTGGTGAGAAGTGAGAGTCAGTATGATGTGACCGTGGGCCATACCCTTGTCCATGCTCATGCCCATCATCAGCAAACAAACAGCAAAAAAAGAACAGCCAGAGCAGCCACTATTGGAGACAATAATAATGTTATGCCTGAGCGGAGCTTTTGTCGGCTAAAAGAAAAAAATAAAACAAATAAAAATGAAAATAAAAAAATAAGAGGCAGTGCTGGTCACTTCACGCCACCCAACTAAAACTCCACCAGCAGAGCAGCTGTTATTGTTGTTATTATTATTGCAGGGTCGGGGCTGGGGCAGTCAAGCTCTCTCTCACGCCTGCGCCTCTCGTCCATTCAATTGTCCCCCCCGGACTCGGTCTGCCGACAAGCCCTTCCCGTCTCCCACTGGCTTCACTCTCGCTCCAATCTCACTCCCGCCTGGCTCGCATCTCATCTGGGCTTCTGTTAACACTAATAATGACGATAAGATGAGTACGAGCCCGGCGATCGATCAACTGCCCGAGACGGCTAGCGTCAGCCGAGCAGATCTTGATTTGGCGCCGATCGCTAGTCCGAAAGAGGCTAGTCAGGGTTGCAAGCGGGCCTGCAGGGAAAAAAGGATGGAAGTTTGTACCCCGCAGTCCGAAAGTGGAAGTAGAGGAAGAGTAGAAGTAGAGAATAGGGAATAGGGTAGAGTAGAGTAGAGTAGAGTAGAGTAGAGAGTAGAGAGTAGAGTAGACAGAGTAGGAGTAGAAGTAGAAGTAGAAGTACCAGTTGTGTCGACCTGCTCTACCTCGTGCTGCGAGGACAGACGGTTGGCGATGTATGTAGGACGGTTGGCAACACAACCAGCGGCCGGACATCTCACAGGCCAGCTTGCGCTAGAAGAAGAAACAGAAGAAGAGAGGATGAGCTGGCCCTGCGCCCGCCGCTGATTCGACTGCTCTCTACTCCGTACTCCATACACTTACTTACTGCTGTGCTTCTGCCACCCGTCAAAGTCCTGGCTTTTTCCTGCCCCTTTTTTTTTTGCAAAGTCAAACAAGCTAAAAGCTCGCAAAGTTCAAGCCAAAAGCCAGCAAACCCGCAGGCAAGCAAGCCAGAGCCAGCGAATCAGAAGTTCGCCTGGCTCGACTTTCTCGACTTTCTCGACCTTAGGCTGAGCTTGTCCCGGTCCACGATGCAAGTCCGAGTGCGATCTCTCGATGCTCGATGACTTCACACTCCTCCTGCCGCTGCTCGTCTCCTTCTTCTTCTTCTTCTTCTTCCTTTTAGTCCCTTTTGCCCCGTTTTTTTTTTTTTTTCTTTTCTTTTCTTTTCTTCCCCTGCCCTTTTATTGCTTTTTTGCTTTTTCTTCCTATTTCCCATCCTCTCTGTTTTGCCTCTTCCGACCCTGCCTGCTGGCTGCTGGCCCTGCCCTCCCCTTTTCCCGCCCTGCCTTTATCTAGCTCTCCCTCTCCCGCCTTCGTCTCGTCCTTTTCTCTTCTCTCCTCTCTCTCTCTCTCTCTCTCTCTCTTTTCTCTTTCTCTTCTCTAGACAGGTTCAATTGATATCCCTTCATCGTCAACTCCTCTCTACAAAGAGTCGACTTGCCAATCAGCACTTACTACTGTCCTCACATATACCAACCAGTCAACATGAAGGCCTCTGTTATTGTCTCTGTCGCCCTCGGCGCTTCCATGGGCCTCGCCACCACCCTGGCTGAGCTCCCAAGCTGCTCTGTGCGTACCAATTGATCACCCAGTGAAGATAGTCACCCCAAGGCCAGTTAACTAACATGAGTATCCATTGATAGCAAAACTGTCTATCAAGCATGCTGGGCAAGGCTGGCGAGCTTGGATGCCCTCCTCATGACCCCGACTGTCTCTGCTCTAACGCTGACTTCCAGCACGGTCTGAGAGACTGCACCCACGAGGCCTGCCCTGGTGAGAAGGTTGAACAGGTTGTCCAGGCGGGCCTTCAGGCCTGCAGGGAAATGGGCGGTGCTCCAGGCAGCTGTACGTTTTCTCTCAATTTTCTGTTTCCGCTGCATGAAATGACTATACTAACACCTTACAGCCACTGGTGCTCCTACTACTGGCACCGGCTCTGGCACTACTACCGGAACTCCCACCTCTGGCTCTGGCTCCGAGACCACCGCTCCCTCCACCAGCGGCTCTGGCTCTGCCCCTGCCCCAACCGTAAGTTCTACCTTATATATATATGTGTGTATACTGTTGAATCTATGCTAACGTGAAAACAGTCCGGTGGCCACTCTACCCCTTACTCTACCATCCCTGCTGGTCCAACCGTCATCACCTCCGGCACCCATGTCGTCACCACCAGCCGCCCTCCCACCACCCTCTACACCGAGGTCTCTGGCTCCCAGACCGGCTCCGAGTCTAGCTCCCCCACTGGCACTGGCTCCGAGTCCACCTCTGCCCCCGAGACTACCTCTCCATCCTCCACCGAGGGCGGTTCCAGCCCATCCTCCACCGAGGGCAGCGGCAACGGCGGCAGCGGCGGCAGCGAGACCTCTGGCTCTGGCAACGGCCCATCCCAGACTCCCTCCCAGGGTATCGCTCCCAAGGCCACCGGTCTCGGTGTTGCTGGTGCCATCGGTCTCGTTGCCCTCCTCGCCTTGTAAATTCCTCTCATGCTAGTCTGGAGTTTACTTTGAGCCGCTTGGTTTTTTTTTTTTTTTTTCTTTTTTCCTTTCTTAGTCACGAGTCACTGAATTGATGGACCAGGTAAATCACGGATATATTCTAGCAGTGTGTGTAATGTTGTATTAACTCTCGCATATATGTAATAAACGCTGCGAAAAGCTCATGATAATAATATTAATGCCAACAGTTCAGGTCAAGAAAGTCGTTCTCATCTTCGTTCTTATACTCTGAGTTGACTAGTGATGAAGTTCAAATTGTCTCTCTGGGATTACCACGACAAACTAGTTATACGCAGGTACTCCAACGATAGAGCTGGTTACGGATATGAATATGTAATTCCAACGATAGAGCTGGTTATGGATAGGAATATGTAATTCCAACGATAAAGCTGGTTGGATAAAGATATTTAATGTAGACTACTTAATCCTCCCCCAGACTCTCGCGCACACACTGCCGGACACGCTTCTTGAACTCCTTGGGATCTTCCCGCCAGAGTCTGGCTGCCTCCACGTTTGCCGGTGACTCGTCGTTCGGGCTCGACAGCATGCTAATCACGCTCAGCAGTATCGTCTCCGGCGTCTGCACGGGCGACCAGCGCTCGGCCGCCGACTCGTACCCGTACTTGTCTTCCTCCGGCGGGTGCAGAATCGATATACATACCTCGCCGTTGGGATATACTAGTCATCGTTAGACAGTACAAACAAACAAATGGAATAAGATGAATAGATAAAGGTCACTCACTATTGGGATGGAACATCGGTGTCTCAAACTTCATCTTCGGCGGCAGATGCGGGTATTCAGGCGGAAAGGTCAGCTTTGCGCGGAAGAAACCTCCTGTTTGTCTCAAGTCAGATCCCTAGTTCTAACGTATGTGCTGCGGTAAAGTGGCTAGATGGTTGATTACCCCCGTAGAACTTGCAGTCGTCCGATATCATCAGCATCACCTCCCACTCAAACACGTTGTTGTCGTCCGCCAGCCCACAGCTGATCCCCGGAATGTCCTTGTCCGTCTGCATCTGCTTGAGCTGGCGGCTCAGCAAGCCTCCTGCCGCCGACGCCGCCATCCTCGCTCTGCTTTTTCGTCTCCGCTCTGGCTTTCTTCACCTGGTATCCTTTTTTTTTTTTTCCCCGGGTGTTCTCTTCCTATCCGGCTGGTTTTCGCTCGCTGGCAACCGAAAAAAACAATGGCAAGCTTCCAAGGTGCTTTGGTGTTCTGTTGGTTCTGTGGCGCGCTGTGGCGGGGGGATTTCCCTCGTTTGGTTCACGCCTGTGTAGGCTCGATGTATATAGACTGGATGTAGATCGCTGGTTGACTTGAAGACGAGGATCACCGGGTTGCTCGAGAGGGAACAGAACAGGCTGAGGTGGGGGAACAGAACTGTTTTGCAGGTTTGGCTGTAAGTAATGCTGTCTGCGACGGGTGTGGGGTGTGTAGTTTGGCGGGTAACTCGAAAGTAGTAGATTTGAACTAGTTAGTCAGTCCCGTTTCTGCTCACTAACTCGTAAACTCACGAGTGGGAAAGCCACAGAGCGCCGTCGGAGCAGTGACCGCCTGCACGTATGCAACTACCCCGTAGAGGCCTGCTTTTTCGACACTGGATGCACATAACTGCAGAAGGCCGATGTACATAACCGGCAGAGTACGGGGTACAGCTAGTTATTGGCACCGATTATCCATGGTCAAAGCGATGATCTACTTAATTATAAATGACTATTACATTGGCTGAGATACACATGTGTGTCTGTAGCATAAACGAGCGGGAAGGGAGTGTGGTACAGAGAGTGATACAAAAGTAGTACAAAAAGGTATAGGATGGGATATATAGCTCTTTCCATCCGGCTGAGGAGCAGCTGGTAGTTGGTACTCCATTGCAGCTGCCTGCAGTCAATGTCAACCTGGCTTGTCGCTGGGTATCTATCTTCCTGGGATATCAAGATACCACTTCAGACTGCGGCATGGCCCATGGAAGCAATGAAGGCCTTGGGGCCGTTAGGTGCGAGCAGGGCGAACCCGACGCCGCCAACGATACCATAAGCCAGACATGCAGCCGCGATCAGGCCAGAAGCCTTGACTAGATTCATGAGCAGGCGTCGGCAGGAGGCCCAGCTGAAGGTCTTCCAAGCATCGAGAATGCCAACGAGGCCGGTACCATCAGCGTCCACAGAAGTCACTTTGCCGTTAAAGGTTCGGTCGAAGGGGACAATGGCCTCGTCGTCCGCGGGCAACAGAGAGGCTGCAACCCGGACCATCATCACAGAAGCAGGGAGGTCAAGGACCAGGCCCAAGATCAGTGACAGAATCACGGCGCCGCCGGCATGCGCAAGGTAGATGGGACGGGGCTCAGCTAGAGAGTACATGCCACGGCCATCGTAACGGAAACCGCCGAACATCACTCCAATGGCAACTGGAACGTGGAAGCTCAGCTGCGAGGCTACGGTCGAGATGAAAACTGCCGGTGCGATCTTGATCCAGTTTTTACGGATTGATGGGAAGCGTTGACACCAGGACTTGGAGCTGGGTGCAGCGATAACGGCGTGGATCCAGGCGAGAACCATGGTCGAAACCGCAACATCTGCAATCACTGGAGCAACAGCCCCCATGAAGCCAATCAAGCCTGTCAAGACACCGCGGGCAAGATTCAGGACCGCATAGTAAGTAAACCCACGGAATTGGGCCCGGGGGCCACCTCGAATACGCAGATGTTTGGTCGTCGAGCGGAGCCCGCTGGTGATGGGTTTGTAGGCCGTGGGAAGTGCCTCGATTTCAGGCTGACCAAGGGGCTGCTGCTGCTGCTGCTTCTTATCGATAGTGGCGCCTTTTGGACCGTCTTCGACCACGTCGCTGTAACTGGGCAGAGACGACGCAGCCGCCGCCGGGTTGGGATCCTCGATGATCGTCAGCGTAGTCACAACACGGCCATATGTATAGTCGATCTAGCAACCGTTAGCATGCGCTGAAACAAAGGACAGTGTTTTTTTTTTTTTTTTTTTTTTTTTTTTTTTTCTGGGCGCCTACAGCGATGATTCCCACGATGAAGATCAGAGTGAGAATGGTAAAGGCGGCAAAAGGCAGGGAGAAGACCACACGTTTGACATCCTCCCGCTTAGCCAGATGCTGAGGGGCAGTCTCCAGTCCTCGACGGACGAGTGCCCCGATGAGGTGTGAGGAAGAGATCATGGCAGCCTCGAGTGGTGGATGGTTGGTTACAAAACAAGGATCGCTTGGTCTTGATACACAGGAGAGACACAGTTGGGTAGAGACACGAAGGAAAGGAGGAAAGAAAAGAAGTGAACGAGAGACAGAGACGCTATACAGATATGAATAACCGGCGAGGATGCTGAGGGTGTTGAACGACGTTGAAGTTGTTGGTTTCGTCCTTCGTCGTCGAGATGGAGTCACTCCCAAAAGCGCCCAGGCAGCAGCGTGTCACGTGTCCAGTCAGCTCACTAACGGAAACGGCCGCAAGGTGATGAGACATTATCATTCAACCCCCTTATTTTACTACCTCGCGAGCAAGAATCTCACGCTGAATCAGCCCGTCGATGTTGGGGGCGGCCGTTGACCAATCCCAGTGTCAAGAATGGAATGTATTAGTTGATTATACACCAGGAAGGGGTTATACAGTAGTAGTAAGTGGTTATTATAGCCATATAAACCTGTTCAACGCTGCAAACAAAGGGGCTCCGAAAACTCCAAGATGCCTATCCTAACTCACTTTGTCCATGCCCAAACCCATGCAAAGAATGTTACCCAGTTCTTTCTAGTTGGTCCGTGATCGGGGAATATTAACCTTCCCTTCCTGTGGGTTCCGCTCGTCGTTTGGACGCAGTTCCGCAGGTCGTTGGAGCACTCGGCACCCCAGGATGAGAAATGGAGCCCGTGTCTTCGTATCTTATAGCCCACAAACAGCAGAATGAAGACGGGCAGCTATTTGATATAGACCCCCTATTGCATCAGCCTTTGATCTGCATGCATCTGGATGCGTTGGGCGGTTTGACTTACGCTGATATATGAAACAATAAAAGCCCGGGTATCGAACGGATCGCTGAGGAATGCCGGTATCCCGTTGAAGACGAGTAATATAAAACATGACACCATGCCATAGCAGGCCTTCAGCCACTGCCCGTGCGATTTATAAGGATATCGTGGATTCTGCCGATCATACACGCCATTTTGCGACTCGGCAGTATTGCCGAGTGAATTGGCCTCCTGAAGACTATTTCGTGCAAGTTGAGTCAGCTCCAAGATCAAGGAAGCGTTGGGGCCCTCGCATCATGACACCTACGTTTGGTAAAAGCGCAAGTATGTCGCACATATGATCCCGTAAACAATTAGGAACGATACTGTGCAGTTGGACGAAAGCTCACGTAGCCGCTACAGCTCACAATGTTAGCCAGACTCAATTTGGCAGAACTTAAATTGGGAGGACAAGAGATTCCTCAAAATAGAATAGGCACACGTACATCGCCTGGACCTTTTCCGGGCCCCAGATATCCCAAAGCCAATATGGCCACGGTCGCCAGCACAGCTCTCGTTGGTACTCCAGCATGACATTGCTGCAGCCGCTTGGTTATAAACTCGGGTCCCGTTTGGTCTCTGAGAGCCAAGGTGTGCATTACCCGTGACGCAACATACACAGAGTTTACGGCACAGGTGAACGAGGAAAACAGATACATTCCGTTGAAAAACTCTCCTGCTGCCGGAAGGCCTGCTTCAACAACTGCAATCACAAACGGTGACTCGGTGGCCAGTGATACCGCTTCTCCATTGAGGAAAGGGTGATCGTATGGGACGAGGAAAGAACACGTTAGCATCGCCAGTACGTATAAAATGACGATTCGGAGTGTTATCTTTCTGGCCGCCATCTTCATGCACTCCGAATCAGCAAGAGATTTACTCTCGGCTGCCGTAGCTGCAAATATATCCACAGCCACATACGAGTATATGACATTCACGGATGCATTCCTATAACCAAGGGCAGACAATAGCCATAGTTAGCGGCCTGGAGCAAATCAAATGGTATGAGCGAATTACGGTACACACCAAACTCCGAGAAACCTTCCCAGCCCTCCGTCTATTACCCGAACAGAGCCATCTTTATTTTTGATATGGTATTCGGGGTTGAAGAAAGAGTATGGGGAGTCCCAGTCTTTCAATCCGTCGCTGTTAGTCATAATACACCTTCAAGTTATCAAGTTCTGATGTGAGAGCAACCGGAGTGAACCTACACTTTGTTCCGAGTGGCTTCTGATAGTACGCAGATTTCCTTGCTGTTAACCTCCGCATTAGTTGGAGTCCAGGGATGCAAAAACTGAATGGTATAGAAGTGAGGAGGTTTAACGTACGATTCATCGCACTGAGAATGACCATCATTACAATGAGAAGTATGATGAATATCATTTTGGCACTCCCAACGACGTACTCGAGCATGCCGAAATACTAACCCATTCAAACTAAGTGTTAGCCAGTGAAAAAAAATACTCTTTTCTTGCCATATATTTAGCCCACCTTGACTGGAAATAGGTTTATCAATGCAATGAGAACGATGAAAACGGTGATCCACACTGCGGTATCAACCCTCTCCCCTACTTCCCAAGTGACATCTGTCTTTCCATCCACATAACTATATCGGGCTGTTTCTGCAGCACCCACCATATTGTGGGTAGCTACCACTGCATAGGCGAACCTAGGGTTTGATGTCAGAAACGGGAGCTCACCAGCAGTATCCAGAGTATGCAACTGACCAATATGTCCAGCCGACCGCAAAACCCACTCCGCGATCTAGGAATCTTCGTGGGAATTCCATCACTGGGGCATTGACTGGCATTAAGGCGGTCATTTCTCCCAGACATGATATTACAGCGCCGACCACCGTCCCCATGAGTAAGTATGCGACAACAGCGCCGCCTGGCCCGCCAAGGGCGAGAATCATACCGCTTCCCAGGAATAATCCTACAGGACGTCGAGTTAGGAATACGATCCAAAATTCCATTCCAATCCAGCATATCTCTCACTCACCATTTCCAATGGTGCTGAAACGGGTTCGGTCGAGGTTAGCGTGTGCGACGTATTGTAGGGTTCAAAGATTAGCATACCCGGAGAAGGCGATCATCTGTCAACAGTTAGCCATGTTGTCAATTCAATATATACACATGTAGACTGGGACTACGGTTGATCTCACGTTAATTTGAACCTCAGGTAACACCCTCCTAGTTGTCGAGTTAATATAGAGTCCGAACATGCAATGAACTCATTATAACTATCCAAGAGTATCAATTACGACGACTGACCATAGGCTCTTCCCCCGAGTCTCGAATACTTCCTCCGCGTATACCGGCTCCGCTAGAAGTAGGCCACATTCTGGATGCGAGTCTCGCCGCGTTATGGGTCCTTGGACTATGGTCGTGTTGGAATCTTTAATACTCGACGCAGAGTTCTCCATGATAGTTGTATCGTCCATGCATGGTGCTCAGGGAATGTGGGGGCCTGAGCAGCAAAATGATGATGAGGAGTTTTATATATGAGGGGATAAATGTGTAGGATAGTTCTGATATTCTATATCGTCAGCTCTGGATATGCCCAGATGATATACAAGGAGCGACGGCACATTCCCTGCCACGATTATCGACGGGGGTATGTTTGGAAATAACCGCAGTAGTAGCCCTTTTAAGAATATTAGAGTAATAGGGTGAGAGGATGAAAACAGATGTGTACAGTGACTGGAGAACATCTTTGCCCGTCGATGAGGCTGAAGCCAGGGTATTTATATTTTTCCGCATGGGGACCGATGAATGCGCGGAGATCTTCCAACTGCATTGACCTCGCCCCTTGGACGGGTTACACGGCCCAGAGACAATCATTTCTTGGGCTATCTCTTGAAGAAGAGGGATGCGCAATCGCGTAATTCACAAATGTGGTTGGTTGTCTAGACCCCCTCGTGAGAGCTCCAGAGAGGCAGTTGATACACAGACTAGGCGAAGCATTCAGCCAGGAAGCTGCTGGATCTTCTTTGAGAGAGAAACATCTGCGTACGGAGTAGGCTGATTTTGATTACACGCAATGTAACTCCCATGCTGGGCAATATATGTATCCCTGTCACCACCATGTCTGGATGGGAGAAATTGTAGCAGGCATGCATATAACCCCTACACCCCCTTCGGTAAGGAAACCTATCCAAGCTACAACGCGGCCGCCCTCGACACAGGAATGAATTCACGGTTACAGACAAATCTGGATGCCCCGATTTTGGAGGCAGACCCCTCGATCGAACTCAGTGGATGAATACATCCCTAAACACCACATATGCTGGAGGCCATCATGCACGCCTGTATCAAGAACGATCGAAGGGCCTTGGCCTTGTGTGAAAGAATGGCTGGCTGCCTAGACTGTGACTTGGGAGGGCGAACTTTGTTGTTCAGAGGGAAAATGTTAAAAAATGCTGGGGGCAGACAGCAAGGCAATATGTGATTGGATAGGGGTCCCATGTTTCCATTGACCCGGGGAGAGGTCCCAGATGAGCGGCTGAGGAAGCCCTGCCGCGTCTGCCACGGCATGGGAACATGGAGCTGTGATGTGTTCTGGAAATGTCCCTGACTTATGGAGTATTCCGTACAAACTCCTTGCTAGTCGTAGAAAAGCGAGCGTGGCACTCCGTACGGAGGAAGGGATGGAGGCCGAAGCCACACTTTGTTCTCCCATCAGCGTTCGTTTGTCTGTGCCAGGCCACACAGCTCTTGGGATCGCCTCTGGCGCCTTGTCTCCTCGTATCTGTAGATCAGCACAGAAAAGGCAAAAAAAACTGGCATGTTCTCGTTTGTTTTTGTAGTTGCTTCGCTGAGATCCATGCTCGAAATATCAGCTCTGCAGCTGCCAAGGGAAGATCACGTGTTTGACGGCCTATTGTTGTTCCATTCCGGTAATATGAAGTCACGTGAATGTTTACTTAATAATGTATTATGTAATTTCAACAGCCAAAAATATCTCAGCGCCAACGTCATATCATCAACAGTTGTCTTCTTATGCCGGATTGCGTCGCGATGATGCTGCGTCTTGTATTAACGTTGTACGGCGTATGGGCTGGATGGTCAAGTTAGGGCTATCCTCGATGTTCCACGTTTGCTGTGCAACCTCGTGACGCCTTGTATCTTGCAGGGTGAAGTGAATCAATCCACAGCTTCAAGCGACATAACCGCTTTGTTTACTCCACGAGAAGCGACTCTCAACAGTATACGGAGTACGGATTATGGAGAACACGTTTAACCCATGGACTCCATACTTTGTACCGGCGAATCCGTACTTCGTTATGGGGTTACTACAGAGTACGGAGTACTTTCACACGACTATCACCAGCATCTTAAATACTTCGCACTTTGTTCCCAGGTCGCTGCGAACTAACTTATCGCATCGCATACTCCGTATCGAGCGCTCTTCCGTCGTTGCATCGACTCATTCACTCGCCAGCTCAATTGATTTGATTTAACCCTTGGGCCACAATCCATCAGGATTTCGTGTGGCTGTTCCCATGCTTCGCTCCAGCTGATGATTCTCGATAGCAGGCTATGATTCGTCGTCAGGATTCCGTGCGCTGATCAATTAACTGGTTTGGCATCGCGAACACAGCCTGCCTGCTGTGATGGGTTAAGTTTCACAGCCTGTTATGCACAAAGCCTCGAAGAACCGAAACTCGCTCCTCCTGCTCGCATCCACTACCGAATGAGGATTAGTCAGAGGGCTGATCGCCAACTTTATCAAAGCCATTGCCCTGTATGGAGACATGACAGACCGAAGATATAACGGACAGACTCTTTGTGCTCCGTACAGCCACCACCCTAAATGTGACAACAAGCCATTGGCTCGAATGAGGGAACCTGTCAATATTCTCACACTCCTACGGATTCCTGGTGAATTCATACAGATACAAATATTCAATGACTGGGAAGACGATTTACGGAGTAGTTACCATGCGGATACTCCGTATTCAAGTCAGCTCCCCATCCTTCAGCTGCTGAAGGCCCACTGAAATATCTGTTCGAAAGTTATGGAGCCTTTTCCCCGATTGCTTGTCGTTGCTTATTCCCAACCTGCGCTCTGAATGATTGGCCGTTTCTTTCCACGCTGGCAGCCTCAAAACCTTGACGACTTTCCACGTCAGCCTCACAGTCAGGCTATCGCTTCTTGACACAATCCATTCACTTCCCAACCGGTTTCCCCCTTTCTTTGCCTCTTGTTCCTTTTTCTGGGCTCTCAAGTACTTATATTTCCCTGGAATGCCGCCTCCTTGGAATTTGGACAAGCTTCTTTGCCAATCCTGCCAAGCCACGAGAAGAACTCCTCCCAAATCGTGTGATATTCTCTTTTCACGATGCGGCTCAAGAATATATTTCGCCGCAACTACACCGAGTCAAACTGGAGGAAACCTCTCCCTTTCATAGAAAGCCCGATTGCCTCCGAGGATGAACTCCTGGAGAAAAACAGCCATGGCTCCCATGATGGCACTCACGCTGATGCACGGCATCCGGGGGAGGCGGACAATTTGAGTACTCACGATGGTCCTGTTCTCAAGAAGAACCACGAAGCAACCACGATGGAGCTATTCTACGATCTCTTCTTTGTCGCTACGCTCGCCATTTTCCATGCTACTCACGAAATCAACACTTCTGACAGTAAGGCCTCGCCTCATTCTGCCTTTTACTCCGGTTAATGATTCTAATATCACTGCAGGTGTCAAGTCATACATAGCATTCATAACCATCCTGTGGTTTTGCTGGTTACAAGCGGCCTTGTTCGACATTAGGTTCTACACTGACTCTATCATTTCCCGCATCTTCAAGGCTCTTCACCTAGGCATCATGACTGGACTTGCGGTGCTGTCAGTCAACTTCAGCGTCACTAATATCCTCGAGCACCGCGGACGGTTTGCTAGCATGTGTTACCTTCTCATGGTGTCTAGATTTATTCTCGTCGCTCAGTATACGACCGTTGCTTGGTACCTGAGAGGTCATAAACAGACATTTACTGCTAAAGTTTTGGTTATTGCTACCCTCTTCGTCTCAGCAACAGTGTTCCTCGCCTTAGGAGTGAGCGCACACTCTATCCAGTCACCAAGAGTACACATCGCCTGGTATGTTGTCATAGCCTGCGAGGCTGTGTTCATGATTGCCATATCCAGCTTCTGGAAAGTCTTGTCCTTCAAGGGAACTCCAATCGTCGAGAGATTTGGGTGCCTTACGTTGATTGTCCTTGGGGAGGGTATTGTTGGAATGACCAAAGCTGTAAGGGACCCCAGCTTGTACTGACACTGTACGCAGTAACACAATAACTAACCAAATATTAGATCAAAAGCATTGCGCTCGGCACTTCGACTATATCGGGCACATCTGTTTCCCTAGTTATCTGCCATGTTCTTATCATATACTTCGTTTATATGCTGTACTTTGATCAAATTGACGTGAAGCGCTTTGGAACCATCCGTCAGCAGATCTGGGCACTCTTTCATTACCCGCTCCATGTCGCGATCCTCGTTACTAGTGAAGGAAGTCGTTCGTTCGTGCTATACGATGTGGCTAAGAGGATCTATGAAAATGCTCTCGTTGGACTCATGAGCAAGGTGAATCGAGTCCAGTCTGCTGCAGACTTGGTTCAAGGGCTCCAGGAGATTATTGTCGATATCTCCAGCAAGTTAAAATCGACTGATGGAAAACCTGATTTCACCCCTCTATACAAGAAGTTGTTGTCCTTCAAGGAGTTTTCTATAACCTCAGAAGAGGTTCGCGAGCTCCTGGAAGAGTTTCTGGCAGAATCTCTTGTCTGGATTATGCACACTTTTGGTATTGAAGTTAAGGAAGAAAATGGAGGGAAAACGCCAAAGGTAGGAAAGGAAGAGGGCAAGGCAGCTATCCAGGAACTCGTCCAGATTTCTAGCGCTGCCACCATCGTCTTCCGCTTCTTTTTTACTGCTGCCGGACTCACGCTTGTTCTCCTTGCCATTCTACACTGGTTCTCGAAGTCCCATAAAAGCCGTGCCGAGATGCTGAGCATTATTGTCACTACCACTATTGGCGTGTTTCTATCCTTGTTGGCTGTAATGTCCAACTTTGACAGTGCCGTGAAAGAGTCAGCTCTTGGGAATTACATTGATAGTGCTTGGGTTACTCCAACCGTTGCTCTCACGTATATTGGAGGTATTGTCTGACTCTGCCCCTGGTATCTTTGACTGTCCAAGGCTAACTACCCTGCCTCTAGTTATTGCAATCGATAATATTATTATCTGGGTATCTCATATACGCAGGCACAAAAGCGAACCTAGGGTGCAGTACGAACCCGTGTCTTGAACAAAAATTCTGTGCATATATATACCCAAATCCTGCAATACTCTGGTGCTCCCTGGTTTTATCCTAGTTTTTTCATTTGTTGAAGCAAAGGGCAATAATTTATTTACACTGTCAGCATTTAGCGTTTAACTCTTTTAATTCTTACTTTGACATCTTATACCCAGCCTAACGACCAAAGAGTGTGTAACCACTACCTGGCATGTGACTAGAAAATCTGTCCATAAGTAGGCCTTTGATGCATGTCCCAGTTACAAGGGGGACACGATAGATCAGGCCATCGTGTCATCGGTCAGATACGTGACAAGTGGCCTCGAAATTCCCTCCGGCTAAAATATTGGCGTAGTTATTTGGTTTGCTGCAACCCTCGAGCCTTCAGCCATGTCACTGACATGGAACCTTAACTAGCTAAGTAGTTGACATCGACGGTCCTGGTAACCCCGAGTAGTACGGAGTAACTCAAGGGGCTTCGAGGCCAGGCCGCCAGTTACCAACCAGATGGTAAATGCTCAAAATGAGGAGAACTGCATATATCTTGGGCGAGAATGCTACAAAATCGGTTCGATATCGTATTATTTTGTTTCGATGCTGATGCATGAACCACATCAGTAGTATGTCTTGATGTCTTGTCATGTGTCATGTGAAGGCGTCTTTTTGGGTTCCTTCCTTTCGAAACTTTAAATGTGACCTTGCTGACTAACAAACTTAAAGGGCTAGCACACGTGATTCTCTCGGTAAATACATTATCCTGAGCCGAGCCGAGGTCCGAGTTCCAATCCCGGCTCGCGCCAAAAGAAGCTGCCCAGTGATAAGAAGCGCGGCAGCAGCAAAAGACGAACATCTTCGTCTTCCATATGATAGCCAGTGTATTATTTGATCCCCTTTTTGCGCTTCGTCTTCTTCACTTTGCTAGTCGTCTTTCTTTTCTGCATATATCTGTGCCCGCTTTTCCCAATAGACTGCATACTGTTGTCTAGCTTATACCTCGAGCATGGCATCCAAAGTCCCCGCTGCGCCCGTCCCGGCACAAAAGGAACCAGAAGCTCCCTCAACCACAACGAACACTACACTTGCACAAGTCCGCTCGTTTGTAGCTGGTGGTGTTGGTGGTGTCTGTGCCGTTGTGGTTGGCCATCCCTTTGACCTGGTGAAAGTGCGACTCCAGACCGCAGAGCGAGGTGTCTACACCGGTGCCATAGATGTTGTTAAGAAGACTATCGCCCGGGAGGGTGTAGCAAGAGTGAGTAACCTCCCCCCCTTTTTTTTTTAATTGCATATTCGTCTTGCCTTGTTCTGGTTACTGATTTTCTCTGCTGTCTAGGGACTATATGCCGGTGTCTCTGCTCCCCTAGTTGGAGTCACTCCAATGTGTACGTGCTTCTTCAGCCCTCTCTCAGATTATTCTTGCTTGCAACTAACACGTAACGTATTCTGTAGTTGCTGTTAGCTTTTGGGTATGTGCCCGCCGCCTTGTTCGCTTTGCCATATTTTCGTGTCGTTCTGACGATCTGACTGTGTACAATAGGGGTATGATCTAGGGAAGACCCTTGTTCGCACCTTTTCAGACGTCCCTGTTCGCAACAACACCCCTCAATTCACCATTGCCCAGATATCTGCTGCCGGCTTCTTCTCTGCGATTCCTATGACCTTGATTACGGCCCCTTTTGAGCGAGTCAAGGTGCTGCTTCAGATTCAAGGACAACACCCGCCACCTGCTGGCCAAAAACCAAAGTACAGCGGTGGACTTGACGTTGTTCGGCAGCTATACAAGGAGGGTGGAATCCGCAGTGTCTTCCGCGGGAGTGCCATGACGCTCGCCCGCGACGGTCCCGGATCTGCTGCTTACTTTGCTATGTACGAATATGTTAAGCGAAGCTTAACCCCCAAGGATGCAGATGGTAATGTCACAGGAGAGCTATCTCTGCCTGCCATCCTTACTGCGGGAGGAGCTGCCGGAATTGCGATGTGGATACCTGTTTTCCCTGTTGATACCGTCAAATCACGGCTGCAAAGTGCTCCCGGAAAACCGACTATCGGCGGCACTATTAGAAGTATTTATGCGAGCGGCGGCTACAAGGCATTCTTCCCTGGGTTTGGTCCTGCTCTTGCAAGAGCAGTCCCTGCCAATGCAGCAACTTTGTAAGAAACATCCATGCCCCATTTATTACATTATGGATCTTTGCTGATATTCCTGTGTTGCAGCCTCGGTGTCGAGTTAGCTCATAAGGCAATGACGAAGTTGTTTGATTAATTGCATTGCTCCTTAAGAGTTTCGACCTTGTATATGGCTGTAGAGGACCTGGCCTCTGATATAACCCCTCCATCCTTTATTCCTGGAGTGGATGATAACCTATGATATGATAGCCCTCTTGGTGCTAATTTTGGCGTTTTTTGTGTCTTCATACTTCCATCGCCAGCTGAATTATATTATACTGTGCATGTCCCTGTATAGATTTAGGCATTTCTCTGGATATAAAAGTGCCTTGCTTCGTTTGATATTTTAGATGGTTTTGAATCTCGGGTGTTATATCAAAACTTCTTATTACTCTGACCGCTTTATCCCATCTTCCCCAACTGTACTCTTAGTAAACCCTGGGGGGAGGAGTGATTATGCCTTAAACTTGCCTCCACAGTAAGGGCATTCATCAAACCGTTCAAGGAGTTTTGCCAGTAGCCCTTTGGTACCTTCGATACCCATCGCTTCACTAGTGTTATCCAGGCACTCCCTTCCACATCTACAGCATCCCTTTGAAATGGATGGGTTCTGGATGGACAAGAATGTCAACGCACACCGAGCTATACATCAATATTTATTAACACTGGACCCAACTAAAGTCATCAGGATGCATGGATACAGATATAAGGATTCATTACATACCAAATAAGTGACCTCCCACACATTGTGACTCTACTGGAGAAAACCATTCAATCCCGCCGCCACAGATATCGCACTGTTCGAATACGCCTGCTCCGTTGCTTTCGAGTTGCTCTGTTGATTTCGGTGGTATTGTAACAGCTTTCAGTTTGTCCGATCCTTCTGCGAGATCCTCTAGCATGGATATTTCGAAACCTAGGTCTATGCTAGACTCGCGGGCTAAATCTTGTAGTACTTCCTTTGCAAGAGAAGATGATTCCAAGGCCGAATGAAATATCGTAGAGCAAGCAGCCGCATATAGTAGCTTTCGCAACCATAGGTCGTCCGGAGATTGTGGCTGCTTATTCGCCAAAGTGAAAGCTATAACCTTGCCTGCGGAGTGCTGTATGCTGGTAGGTGTAATGGCCGGCATATGCCATGGTAGTCCTGGTTCGGTGTGGTCGGATCTTTCTAGGCTTGGAGGGGCAAAGAATATTGTTGTCCTTTCCTGAGAAGAAGTAGTGTGCTGTACCATATCCGTAGGATGAAAGGTCGCGCAGGTGGCTATCCATCCACGATGGCTGCATAGGCCCCAAGTCTTCGCTGTTGACATACCACCTAAGTCATAATCTAGATCGAATCGATCCCTGCAACCTTCAACATTTCTTCTCAGGTAATCGTCTTGTGAAAATTCGTCGCCATTTGATAATGGTTGTATCTTGCTTCTCATGCTGGGAAACTCAAGTTGATGCAAGGAGGATAATGTCAAGATATAGAGGTCACTGCTATTACTTGTATCCCCCACTCGAGAAGTAAAGCCTGCTTTTGGTTAGAATATGACTTAACAGGAGGGGCTAGGAAATATTGATGTCCATACCTGAAATCGGATGCCATTTTGCAAGTGAAGCGTCGAATTTTTCTTCGTGAATGTCTACCCTAAGAATACTTTCCGACCATATATTCTTGGGAATTGTCAAAATAACAAATCCACATATTATACCAGCTGCTAACCCAAGATTGTGGCTGGTCTCCTGAGCCAACGCGAATTAGTGATATGGTAATACAGTGGCTGAAGGAACAAGGAACCTACTGCAGTTTCTATCCAGTGTAATGGACCCTTTATATCACGGTCGGTCGTTGTATAGTCAAGGGTCCACTCCAGGTTAAGCAGCTCAATTCGTTTGATCGTAATCTCAGTGTTCATGGAAATAGTGTCAAGATCCAGGCGTAGAATAGCCAACTCCGATCCAAACATAAAGGCAATTAGAGAGGACCAGATACGTAAATCTGCAGCTCCATGGTCCCCCAGCATTGGTTTATTCAACCAAGTGCTTGAGGAAACACGTGTTATTGTAGCCCTTTTTGCCGTGTATTCTGAGAATACAGAGCCTTGTTCTATAGACCGAGAAAGGCAAATGCCTTCAGAAGATGCAGAGTAATGAGTAAGAACAACTGCACTGGCACTCTGTCCATATGAGGGTGCAGTAACCCTAAGAATCACTATGTCATTGGTATCATTGCTGACGACGAGGAAATTTATGCCACTATTATGGCAAGAGTCTGGATCGTTGAACTTATTCGGGGCGAAATAATTCCAGGAAAATGCCCTAATTCTTTGTTTTCTTCGTAACAGAGGGCCATTATCACCCGTGAGGGTCTTGAAATACTTCCTGAGCGCGTGGTTAACAACAAGTGCTCTGTTCCATTTGGAAGCACCGTCCACCGCCTGCCAGAGAGATAAGGCTAGGTTGCTAGTTAATACAGCTAGCATGCATTTTCCATATGCCGCCAGACGGGGAGCGGACCAGGCTACAGCGATCGCATGGCTCATAGATTGCTCCTCGCCGATAGAAAAGGTGGCACCAGGCTCCGGGAGCAGAAGAGGCAGCTCATCCAGTGTAAAAGCATTGGTTTTGAGTTTGGATATGTCCCACTGCGCGCCACTTGACCTTTGAGCGGCCTGATCCTGCTGCTTCTCTTCTCTATTTGGCTTGGGGGACTGTTTATTGATTGTATCAGTTAGACTTGGAATGGTTGAGCTTCATGAAGATGCGCAACACACCAGGACATAGACAATTTCCCCACTGGCAACAGCAATTTCGCCATCTGCTGACCATGACAGACAGTTGTCGCAGGATGGATACGATCGAAGCTCTAGAGGTTCTAGCATGATTGTGTTGGATGATTTAGAAGTTTAAAAACATCCATGTAACTAGTTAAACGGTGCGGTTAACTAGTTTTTTTAAATGAAGTTGCTGGCTGAAATATTGGCTAACTAGTTAACTACTTAGTTATCTAAGCACATTAACCACCTAAATAGTTGAACGTACATAACTACAAGTCGGAAGTTTGGTTAGGGCTCTATACTCAACGGTGCCCGTCTATCATTTAGTTACGAGTACCATGTCCTAACTACTGGTCTAAACAGAGAAGTACTGGGCAAGTTATAGTATCGGAGTGAACCATCCTATATACTGATAGCATTCAGCTTGCCGCAAATACAGCCCGGTTCCTTGTGCAAAGACGACCTTATTGGCTCTCTGTATATTTTATAGATATTGAAAATCTGACCCAATATATAACTAGAGGCTGGGCTAGGTGACCAGGCCAAGAAAAGTCCCAGCAATGGGGTCCCATGTCTGATCCCAGCGATTTCTACTCTCCTTAACCGCTCCCTCTCGGAGCACCTTTAGAGCGCTTCCATCACCGCCAAGTACGCTCTTGAGAAGTCCCGACAATTTATCTGCACTATCAAATCCCAGCCCAGTGACCCCTTCGGTGACAAGTTCAGGCCAGGCTTCGTATTGATCCCAGCCAACAACTGGGAGGCCAGCACCAAACATATCAACAACCTTCATTGGAAGATCAACACCGCTGCTACTTGTATGCAGACAGACCCCCAATGTGGCACATGCAAGCAATTGTGCATAATTCTCGAAGGAGAGCCAGGCTGTTTTTATAAATACATTGAAGAGTTTTCCTTCAGCTTTTAGCTTGTCTATCTGGGAGAGGTACATGTCCTTTAGCGGCCCCTTTCCGGTGATAATAACAAGAAGAGGGACCGAAGGGAGAACTGAGGACTTCGCCGATGTAGAGTAACGACAGAGAGCATCGAGTAAAAGAGAAAAATCTTCGTCAGGTGTCCAGGATGTAGAACTAACAAGGAGTCGACACCGGCCCTCGATAATATCTGTGGCACTTTGACTTGTCTCAGGAATTGAAGACAAAATTGCAAGACGTCGCTTCTCATCAAAGATCGGGCTGAAGGCTGAAGAAGGCCGATCGTGAAGTACCATAAGAGGCTTTTTAATCTCGAATTGCTCCCGCAAGATCCGAGCCATGGCATTGCTGACACAAAAGTGGGCAGTAGCATAACAAGAGAAAGCTTTCTCATACAATGCCATAAGTTTGACCATGGGGTGGGCGGACCCAAGCTTCAATGCAAGAATAGAATACCCAAAATTATGCCAGTCAATAATGAGACGGCTATGCCGGAGGTGGCAGGCAAGTAGCGCGAGAGCAAGAGTTGGTGCTGCTGGTGGATTCTGTGGCCATTGTCCCAAGGTTTATAGACAAGTTCTTAGCAGGCTCATTCCTTGTCTCAAGTCCGCGATTTATTCAACAATGATAGCAAAGAGACAAGTAAAGGGCGGTGACAGATAAACGGGATGTTCGTTACTGGAAAGGCTTACCTGGACTAGTATCCAATGGGCAGGGCCTGTACGATAGCCTAGCGCAGTCCAGAGGTGCCATGCTTGTTGCAAGACCTTGAGGATCGCAGCAACAGGAAACAAGAATTTCTTCTTGGTCTGTAGAAGAGCTGGGGGGGATGGGAGGGCCACAATTGATATAAGGGGATGATCCAGAAGTTCCTGGTTTGGAGTAGAATCTGCAACACGGTTAAGTGTTGGCGAATTGGAACTCGAACGGGGCAGCCAGAGTAAGCATACTATGGTATCCTATAACAGTGACTCGGCCACCATGCCGTGCAATGCTAAGTGCATGGCACTGCATCCGCGGGCTATGCCCTATATCCCCTAGAACTACGATCTGAACTGACACTGCATCGTGGGTCTCGGATGATTTCTTCTCACGCCGTGTGGGCAGCAGTTGGATAAATGCTACTGAAGAAAAGCCGATGGCAAGAATGGATAGTAGCAGCACCAGAGTCATGGTCCTCTGTTCGGATTTCTCTCCATTTAATGTAGTCCGGTTGCTGTTATCAATTGGGGTGTCGTTGGCCTCGTCGAAAGAGGTTGATGTAGTTCGTTCAGGCAAGTAGCGCTTTTTGCAGGACGGAATGGTGGAACCGTAGACGATTATATAAGCCGTTTCGTACTAACTAATTTCCGGAATGGATTCGCTAAGCTGTTTTGGGTAAGGCGTGAGGCGGGTAAATAAGCTTCTTATGCTGACATAACGGATTGATAAACCCTAAATCTGCGACCCCCAAAAAGCCCCCTGATCGGGCGAAGTTGATAGTGGCCACTTCGCTTTGCTGGACGACGACAGCGAGGACAGTCACAGCGACGAGGAGGTTCCTGAGGCAATTTATTTACCTGATTGCTAACGCCGATACCTTGTCTCCGTGGACAGCCGAGATACGCTGCTGCCGACTCACTTACTCTCACGCTAGGAGCGAGACTAGCCAGCCGAGCAAGTCCCTACCGACTCTTGACAATCCATTGAACGGACTTATCGCGCTGGATGCGGCGATGGCCTAGGTATCTCGATTGAACAAGCTTATGAGATAATGGGGAATGTCGGCCCCACTGATTTCGCAGGCCATGAATGGCGCCCGTGGCGGGAAGTCCCATCGCGGACGCGGCCATAAGAGGAATCATGGCAACTCAGCCAACCATGCCTTACCACAGGTGTTTCCGTACACAGGAGGCGCAATACCACCACAAGATGCACATGCACCTGTTTACTCTTCTAACCTTGTCAAGGAGGAGGCCTCTACTCAATACCTTGACAAGCAAGGCCCCGGCTTGATGAACACTTTGAATGGCGGAGCAAGCTGGGATGAATATTATGGGCATGGATATACTGCCTCCCAAGATGAGCTTCCGTTTGGACATGCCACCAGCAGTAATGTACATATGCAAACCACTCTGAAGCAGCGTGTACCACATTCGGCCAGGTTAGTGCGCGCATTCAAAACCATTTCCTACTATAGTATCTTTTATCGTGGGAGGCCATCTAACTGATCACTCCCACAGTCCCCAAGGGCTTGGACAACAGATAATTTCTGGTCTTCTTACTGCCATGCCGTTCGTGATGTCCTATCTCCTTGCAGGGCCCATCCGCTTGGGCACTGCCAAATCCGAAACCCAGAGTACGAAGACGTCGCATTCTCTTCGATTTGCTGGCATCCCGCTAGTAGTATCATGTGCATATGTATCTGTTGCTCTACTAGTACATGGTATATACGAGAAGGTACGCCAGGGCCGTGTGAATGGAAATGCTGGACCTACGGATGGCTTTCAGTCGAATCGCTCGAGTCTTTACGACGGGATGAGAACCGCGATATGGATGATCCTGCCCCTTTATGCTTCTTTCATGATCGGATTTGATGTCGTAATTGCTGTGTTACTATTGAACATTTTCACGGATTCGAGGACTGGCTCTAGTGGGAATACGCTGACTAGAACAATACGGATTCTTAAACGCAGGAAGGTATCAGCATTGTTTATTGTCGCCATGGCTGTCTTGGATATGGCCTATATATCCTCTGCCCAACCTCTAGAGGTATTCAAAGGGTACATGGCCATTGCTGCTACTATAACGCTTCCGTCCCCCGGTTCTCTCTTGACGCTCACTGATACCGCTGTGGATGAAAAGTTCGCTTCAAGGAAGGATAATATTGACGATACAGCTACTGTGAACCTCGTTATCGGCACAGTGCTTGGGGCGTTGATCTTATTTGTTGTCTTGTTCTCGGGTGGTTTCAGTGCAGTATCTCTATCATTCCTTCCTATCTTTGTTGTTGGGTTATTCACAGCAACATCCCAATTGATATACGGCATTGATGCTACTGGCAGGCCGAGTCTGCCTACCATTGCGTCGGGCGCCATTATTGCCATCATAGCTACGTTTGTAACATCTCAAACACACATTATACCCTTACAAGCTACTAGATTTGGGCTCGCTTGTCTCGCATCCTTCGCCGACTGCAAGATGGTACATAACGACAATCACTCGCAGGAAAAGATGGAAAAGAAACCCTCTCGAATGACTATATGGCTTTTAGGGGCGTGCGAACAGTGGCCTTTTATACACGCTATCCTGAAGGAAAGGGATTCACGCCGTATTTTCTATTTTATGAAGTGAGTCGTTCATTCTTATTTGTGCTGGACTTTGGGCATATTATCTTGCTGACCCTAGTATATATAGCCTGAACCTAACGTTTATGGTGGTCCAGTTGACCTATGGTGTCGTCACGGGCTCTCTGGGACTGTTGAGCGACAGTATTCACATGTTGTTCGACTGTTTTGCTCTCGCTGTTGGCCTAGCGGCCGCTGTCATGAGCAAGTGGCCGCCGAGCTCTCGTTTTCCATATGGCTACGGCAAAATTGATACGCTTGCAGGTTTTGGAAACGGTGTGTTTCTGATGTAAGTGTATCCTTCTTGAAATATACCACGCCATGGACAAAAGTTGCTGACAATCCCACAGGATTATTAGCGTTGAGATAATATACGAGGCCGTGGAACGGTTGATGTCAGGCAGCGAGGTGCATAGGATTGGCGACCTCTTTGTTGTGAGCTCGCTTGGCTTGGTTGTTAATATGGTTGGGATATTTGCATTTGACCATGCGCATCATGGCCATGGCCATGCTGGACACGATCATGATCATGGACACGGGAATGAAAATATGCACGGTATATTCTTACATATACTTGCTGATGCACTTGGATCAGTGGCGGTTGTTTCGTCCACTGTACTAGTGCACTTTTTCGGGTGGTCTGGGTTCGATCCGATTGCGTCGTGCTTGATAGCGATTCTGATATTTGTCTCAGCTATACCTCTTGTTATCAGCACCTCGAAGACCCTGCTTCTCGCATTGCCGGCAGACGTTGAGTATAGTCTTCGGGATACTCTTGCTGGGGTTAGTGTGATGCGGGGGGTAGTTGGATATACTGTGCCAAAATTCTGGCTCGATGATACCGTCCACGACCATAACCACAAACATCATGGTCACAGTCATAGCCATGACCATGACCATGGCCATACCCATACACATACACATAACAGCCATCAGCATAATCGTGGGGGAAGCCATTGCTCTTCACATCATAGCTACAACTCCCACTCTGATAATCACTCCCACACCCACAATCATGCCCACAGTCATACGAAGTGTGGCAGTCACAGCCACAGCCATGGGCCTGTCGACGACCATGGCAATAGACGCGTCCTCGGGGTCATACACATCATTGCTTCGAAAAACTCAGATTTGTCAGATGTCCATACCCGTGTGGCCGATTACTTGAGCGAGAAAGGGATGGACGTTTTGATCCAAGTCGAAAGAGAAGGGGATGGCAAATGTTGGTGTGGTGGAGGTAAATAGTAATGGGAGGTACTTACTCAACACGTGGTCGGATGAACATCCTTCCTTACATACTGCAGTTAATATGTTTGATATGGGTGTACACTAAACCAGTTGGTAGTCATGTATCTAATCTACCAATGTTATGATTTCCAGAGTTAATTATTGCCTAATGAAAACTACCAATCATATGTCCTACGAACGGGCATTTACCGAAAAACGCAGTATGATTTGCATAAAGCTGCAAAGTTTAATAAGGGCATATATTGAGGT